AGACCATCGCCAACCGCTAACCTCAATCTCTCACATGTAGCTGGGCTATCCAGATTCCAGCCTCCATCATCCTTCTTTCCATTCATCTTCCTTGCTGCCACAACCGCCTCTCTCAGCGCAAAGAAGACTGTCGATCCCAGGAACAAAGGCGGTTCACCAATACCTTTAGAACTTTGTACACTTCTCAAGTGATTCCACGATAGTGGGTTACCGTCGTTATCATGACGGAGCATGCTGGCATTGAAGACTTGCGGGATATCGCTAAAGCCGGGGATCTTGTATGTACCAGGGCCTCGAGTGAAGAGCTGGCCGGTTCGGGTCCATAGCGTCTCTTCGATAGTGAAGAGACCTTGGCCTTGAATGAAAGCGCCTTCAATTTGCCCATAGTCTATGGCAGGATTAATGGAGTTGCCGACGTCCTATAGTAATATTAGCATGTTGGAATGGATACATATCAGGATAAGGCATACCATCATTATGTCTGATCGGAGCACGGTATGATCGCCTGTGAGAAGATCAAGCTCAACTTCTGAGCAGCACGCTCCTTGTGTCCAGTAGTAGTACATGGGCTTGACAGTCTCTAGGTTTGTATCTCCCCAGGTGTACCCGACTTTAGGCATCTTCCAAAAGCCATTTGCAGCAAGGTTGATACGATCGACATAGGCGGCATGAGCGAGTGCCTTGAGAGGTGCATCCTTCCCTAGCTTCTCGCGATACGGCTTCAGCCGCTCGTTGATCTGGTCGCATGCGTTCTTGACAGCCATGCCGTTCAAATCAGATCCAGAAGATGCAGCGGTAGGAGAAGCATTTGCAATCTGGTAGGTCTGGCTGTCTTGGGTATATATCGCATCGAGTGGGGTACCAAGCTCTTGCGCTGCGATTTGACACATCTTAGTGTAGAGTCCTTGACCCATTTCCGTTCCGCCGTGATGTAGCAGCACACTTCCATCGTGGTAGATCTTGATGTATGCAGCCGCCTGATTGAGATGCAGAGCTGTGGCGAAGCTGAGACCAAACTTCGAGGGAACGAGACATATGCCTCGCTTCCTCCATCGGTTCTTCGAGTTGAAAACCTTGATGGCCGCCTTCCGGTTCTCGTAATCAGCCGACTTGCTCAGCTGGTGCAAGAGCATCGGAACGTGCCAGTCCTCGTCGATCTTTTGGAAGAACGGAGTGTGTTGCCCAGGCTTGTATAGATTTTTCACCCGCAGCTCATCGACATCCATCCCTAGACCTTCTGCGATGTTGTACATGACGGTTTCCGAGAAGTACATGCCCTGAGGTGCTCCGAACCCTCGATACGCGGTGTTACTGTGGATGTTGGTCCTGCATACGTGACCACGCAAGAACACATGTGGGCACTCATAAGAGTTGTCAAAGTGCGTCAAGCATCTGTCCATAACCGCTCCGCTCATGTCTTGGGAAAAGCCACCGTTGTTGTACACATCAGCTTCAAGGGCGATGAGTTTGCCCTCCTTTGAAACTCCCACCTTCCAACGAGCCTGGAAGGGATGTCTCTGACCGCTAAGCAGCATGTCCTCATCACGGTTCAGCATGATGCGCACTGGTCGCTTCTCTTTCCTGGCAGCTATTGCTGTATATACCGCAAAGGGCACGCTACGCGATTCTTTTCCACCAAAGCCGCCTCCCATACGCTTCACACGTGCGTTGACGCGGTTGCTCGGCACACCCAACACTGAGCTCACAAACTCCTGGGTCTCCATGGTGTTCTGCGTCGACGACCAAACTTCCATAGCTCCGTCTTCTCCGGAAGGTATCGACAGCGCTGCGTTAGTTTCGAGGTAGAAGTGCTCTTGCCCGCCTAGCCTGTTCACACCTTCAAAGATCCTGTCGCATTGAGCGAAAGCGTCTGCCATTTTGTCGTCGATCGCGAGGCCTTTCCTTAAGAACTTTCCATGTGGATAGTAGCTCTCGGCTGCGATGGCTTCGTCGATAGTTAAGATTGGATGTAATTCTTCATAGTCGACCTTCACAGCTCGAGCGGCCGCTTGGGCTTCCAGAGCCGATTCAGCGTAGACCATACCAATGACCTGGCCGTTTGAAAGTACCTTATCTTCAGCGAAGAAAGGTTCGTCTTTTTTGATCGAGCCCCAAATGTTGACGTCTGAGGGGATGCTATGTCGGTCAATGTAGCCGACAACGCCAGGCAATCCGAGCGCTCGGTCCCAGTCAATGTGCAAGATTTTAGCATGGGCCTTTGTTGACATGACGAGTCCACCAAACAATTCACGGTCTAATCGCGGCATGTCGTCAATATACTCTGCTTCGCCAGTACACTGCTTTAAAGCAGATAAGTGTGCTACCTGTTTGCCTACCACACGTTGTTCGTAAGGATTGTAGTTATCCCGAGCACCACTGGAGATCTCACGGTGTATCTCATCAATCACCTGCTCATCGACGTTGCCCAGACCGAACTCAGCGGCGGACTCATGCCAGAAACGGAAGAAAAGCGACAGGGTGAGCGTTTTCCGGTAGTCAGCCATGCCTCCTGGAACGCCATACGGAAGATCGTAGTCCTGCAGCAATGCTGTAAGAGCAGCATCAAGGGTCTCCGAGTGAAACCAAGGTTTTCCTAAGAGAGCGTTTTGCGTCTTCGGTGACTCCTTTGTCATAGGCGCCATGCCACCGTACACGATCGAAGCGTTCTCTACTAGGCCTTCCGCGTCAAGACGCACTCGAAATGCAGCCGTAACAATTGCTATGTCGTCGTCCTTACGTTTCGCTTGCTTGTATGCTTTGAGAGCCTCTCGTGAACCTGGTGGAGACAAAGGAATCCGAATGCGATGGAGCGCTGCATCAGGCGGGAGAGTTGTAGTCCTATAAGCGACAAAGAAACTTGACATTGGAAGATCGACGCGACCATCCTTCTTATTAACAGCTTCAAGTGTCGCTCCGGCCGCGACTAGCACGGGATTAGCGTCCGAAATGGGCGATGCAGTTGCAATGTTGCCAGCTAATGATGCAACATTGCGAATCTGTCGGCCCGCAAAGTATCGCAGTTGTTTACGAAGGGCCTCCAGCACCATTGCACGCTTCCCAAGCATTGCATAGACCTTCTTACAAATCTCTTCCAGCTCCGTAAGCGGTGTATTTGCGGCAACGACAAGCTCGTTCGCTGCCTCAAGCTCTGCATACATTGGCAGTCTTGTCTGCTTCAACTCTGATATGTCCGAGATGTAGACAGAAACAGCAAAATCGGAGTTTTTGAAGCGAACTTCTACTTGAACCTCGCTAGCACCGCCGATAAGCTTGGCTGACGGGTACGCGTCTTTCAAGTCTACGAGCTGCTCAAGCTTGGTAGGTCGAAACCAGATCTTTTTGTCGTTGCCGTAGCATAGCGGCTGTGGCTCGTACTTCCATAGCGCGGGAGGAAATATGAGTTCAGTATCTGGAGCGTACTCTAAGAACTCGATCTTGGGTATCCCTTCAACCGAGTCTGCCGCTGGTGCCTCCACTGTAGATGTAGTGGTCTTCGTCTCGGCAGCAGCATCATGCTCCTTACTCTTCAGTGGTTTTGCGTAATCGGCGCCGCTGATAGCAGGATCTGCTTGAGGCTGTTTCTTGGCATCTAAAATGACTGGCATGTGCTCGTCTTCAGATGCCGATGTAGGCTCCGTTGGAGGCGACGAGACGTCCGACTTGGTGTCTGTGGAGCTACTATCGGATGGTGTGTCTCTGCAACAGCCACCTGGTCGACCACAGGAAACTTTGGATGGACCAGCGCAGCCATTGCGGGTTAGATCGAGGACATCTTTCTCGAACTTCTCAGATTCGGCAGTCGTTGGCTCGTCCTCCTCTGCCAACTGACCCTTCAAATCCTCAGTGACGAAAGTCTTCGCAGCTTGAAGTATCGGCTTGTAACCTGTACATCGGCACAAGTTGCCATCAAGGTGACCTTCCATCTCAATCTCACGAGCGCTGAGGTGGAACTTCTTTGTCTCCGGGTTGTATGCGTTGCGTACCACTGCATAGAGACTCATAACGATACCCGGTGTGCCTATTATGTATACATCAGCACAGATCCTGGAACTGCGATGAGGTATCACCTACAAAAACCACATTGGCTGCCATGCAGCTTCGCTATCCTTTCTTGTAGAGGATGTGGTCGGTGGACATTGCCGATACCTTCGACCGTAATAACATGTTTGCCATCAATACCAACCAGGGGAAACAAGCATGCGTTTACCGACAGATGTTTGATCCTCTTTCTCTCAGACTGCCAGTCTGGAACCTGTAGGACAACGGTGCATGCGCCGCATCCGCCTTCGCCACATCCCAGCTTCGTACCTTTGAGGTTCGGCTGAGCGCGGATGTAGTCTAGCAACGTCCAGTGCGGGTTGGGATTACTGATGACCGTTTTCCGTCCGTTGATGTAGGTTGTGATATCCGGTGTTCGGAAAGTCGTCTCGATGAGAGGCGTCAGGGCTTCCGTAGCGGAAAGGCCCCGTGGTGGATGGGCTGCACTGCTTTTTGGCGGAATCGGCAGAGACATGATTCGAGTCGAGCCTTGACAGGAAGCGATGAGACGGTCAAGGACACGATACCGACTTCATGATATGGTCAGCAAACATGCGCTTCTGCAGCATCCACACCTTCCTCACGTAATGCTATCGCTGATTGGACATGAGGCGAATGTTCCGATGATAGACGATTTCGCCTTTCCGATGGCTAGACCCATGATACCCCACTCTTGGACCCCAGCTCAGGCGTGTAGTACAGATGGCTGCTTGTGCCCACACCGCAAACATCACCCTTGTCACATCTCTTGCTGAATCTGCCCCTCCCCCATTTCTGCATCTGCAAACACCACTTACTAACATGGGATTTGCAGTGATGAAGACGACTGGTTTTGAAATTAGCGTCAGGTACATAGGAGACCCTGAGTAGCAACCATGTAGCTGTTCAAAATCTTTTGTGGTAGCCACGATCCCATACCTTCCCCTTTCACAACATCTCGTGCACGTTTGGAACTTGCAAATATGCCGAAAGCAAACAGCCCGACTGGCTTCCAGCCACTCAAAGAGACTGCGCTTTTTTCGCCGTTCAAGCTAGGCCCTTTGCATCTTGAGCACAGAATCGTGCAGGCACCATTGACACGTATGCGAGCCACCAAAGAAGAAGAAGGCGTTTTCGTGCCCAAGGAACTACACGTTGAGTACTACAGCCAACGCGCGAGCAAGGGGGGGCTGCAATTAACAGAGGCCACTGACATCACCAAATACGTAAGTCGTTCGCAACTCGTTGGAGCAAACGTGTTGACTTGCAGCAGGCCAGCGGATACCCAGGTGTACCGGGCGTGTTCTCTGAATCTCAAATCGCCGGTTGGAAGAAGGTAACTGATGCCGTCCACTCAAAGGGCGGCTACATCTTCTGTCAGCTATGGCATACCGGCCGTGCTAGTCCACCGTCGTTTCGGGCCGGAGCACCAACTGTCAGCTCAAGCGACGTGCCCATGGAGGGCAATTGGCTTGATGGTGTTGCGTGTGCTGACCATCCACCCAAGCCGCTGACTGTCGAGGAGATTCAAGATTTGACAAAGACCTGGGCTGAGGCTGCGAAAAAAGCTGTCGAGGCTGGATTTGACGGCATCGAAATCCACGGCGCGAACGGGTACTTGCTAGACCAATTTCTGCACGACAACGTGAACAGAAGAACAGATCAGTACGGCGGATCGATAGAGGGCCGGAGCCGCTTTCCTCTTGAAGTCATCCAAGCGTGCTCAAAAGCCATCGGTGCTGACCGAGTTGGTATTCGTCTCAGCCCATACAACTACTTCCAGAATACCAAGGACAGTAGTCCTAACGAACACTGGGAGTACTTGTGCGAGAAGATAGCATCGCTTCCGGAGGGCGAGAAGCCAGCCTATGTTCATATGTGAGATGATCCACTTCGATAGCCAAATCAATACTGATAATTGCTAGGGTCGAACCGCGTTTCGACGAAGTCCTAGACGAACAGGCTAAGATGGACGCTCTAGCCGCATACACCACAAAAGGAGGCAAGGGCGTAGAAGCGGAAGCAACTTTGAAAGTCAAAGGCAATACGCTGGTGAACTTCCGCAACATCCTGCAGAAGGGTGGCGTGAAATTCATCGCGGCTGGTGGCTTCGACAGGAACAACGCCGCGCCGAAGGTCGAGTCTGGAGATGCTGATCTTATTATTTTCGGCCGGTGGTTCATCGCAAACCCTGATCTTCCCAAGCGCCTCGCTGAAGGTCTGGAACTAAATCAGTACGATCGCAACACGTTTTACGGCGCTGATCCACCGCAAAAGGGGTACACGGACTACCCTTTCCACGCGCAGACGGTGTCTGCTTGAGCGGTTTTCTGGTCACGATGCATTGGTGGCGCTAGCATGATGGTCGCATTTTTTGCGTGCTGATAGATTAAACTGCAGTCTCCAAAACATGAATGTATGCATATGTGAGACTTGTACCCAACGTTCAATCTGCTTCTCGAGATGGGTTTGTCATCCAGGTACGCGTACCTGAAACGCGAAAGTGGCGCGTCATGACGTATTAGGCCGAACCGGGTTCCATCAAATCATTCAATACCTGGGAATTGCAAAGCTAGCCAGTCAAAACCCATTCCCAATCCCAAAGGCAAATCAAGACCTGATATGCGGAATCACATTTGTGTGCTGCACATGGCTACTGTGTTACGGGTTGACGACTACAAAGCATCACACGGCCTGCTTTCTTCTATACATAGAAACACTATGCGCTCGAGGACTGTCATGACCATGAGGCAAGACTACAGTAAGCGAGGTGCCCGCGTTTGAGGTGGAGCGGATGATGCACAGCTTCATACCATAGGAGCCTCTTTGGTGCTACCACAAAGGCGACAGCGAATGACCGCGGTGCTTGGTAACGTGAGAACGTGGAATAACATCTCCAGGACCGGCAATAATTGCCTTACCAATCAGATCGATGACGTACTGGTAAGATCCGCGACTACTCATACCCTACTCTACGTCATTGGATGTAACTTCTCAAAGTCCCTCACAACTTCCTCAGCCAGAAAAATGTCTCTGCCATTTGTAAACCCCGTAATCAGGATTGGCCACAGCCGGCGTGCAAGCACCAGTTCCGAACAGTATGCCTCCTTCGAAAAGCTCTCACCAACAACATCCTCGAACGTCCGCTGAGCTTCTAACAATCCTGCTTCTTCTGGTTCAACCAATGCTTCGCCATTCCACATGAAGGACGGAGCGCTTGTGCTCAGGAAAGCTGGCGCAAAGAGTGCCAGGTCCCAATCCATGATAGCCGTGATTTCCACAGTCGATTCTGACGTAATGGAAGCGAGGAAGTTGCGCGGATTGAAATTACCGTGGTAGAGATGGAACGGCAAAGAATCAGGGATGAAGGCCAAAGTGTGTAGTATCTCGAGCATCTTAATGATCCCACCCCAGAGATCGTCACAAACGGGCTGTTTTGCCGCGATAGCATACTCACGTTGACGGGTGCAGAGGTTGAGCAAGAAATCTATTGTACTTTGCGGTTCGGAAAGTGAGGTGCTGACGCCTGTCGAATGAGTAGTAGGTCGGGTGCGAGGGACAGGTATTGGCTCGATACTAACGATATCGTGCTTGAGATCGTAGGTGGTGTTGCGGGTGCTGATGAAGCCAGGACACCTATTCTTGATCTTTCTTATGTCTAGAATGATGTTGGAGATAGCTCGGATGGCACTGAGTTGCTGTGCTTGGTTCAGTGTGGACCATAGGTTGCTGAGAGGTTGGCCGGGCAGCCACTCCTGAAGCATGTATGGGTAGCCTAGAGCATTCTCTGCGCCTGCGTCGAAAACGATGACTTTGGGGACAGTATGTCCAAGTTTATAGCCCAAGTATGCTAGGGTAGTGACTTGATGGTGCATGTTTTGGGTAGGATCGCGCGGAATTCGTAACACGAATTGCCTTGAATGGTTTGTACATTTCTTTCGACCCGTAAGACATGGCTGAATCATTTCACGTATAGCCTGAGTCGAATACCAAGGAGCGCCCAGCGGCTTTTTGCAGAGCCTGACGCCAACGATGCGGTTATGTCGACCATCCTGTATCTGATATATCTTTACATTATCGGTGCAGTAATCAGGGAATAGGTCGAGCATAAGCTGTTTAATGTTGTGGCGCATGGTTTCGTAGGGCTCTAACTCGTTTCCCCCTTCCCCTTCTTCCTGTTGCTCTTTGATTGGCGACTTTATTGGAATATTCTTAGAGACATGATTCATCTCTTTATTCTCCCGGGTCACAGATGCAGCATCGCGTTCTATTCGTTCGTTCTCGACGTGCGAACCGCTGAACGGGATGATGTGAGCCATTGTGTTGGCCTTGAGTGAGATCTCTGGAAGGATTACGCTACTTGTAATGATCCTCCGGAGGAGTGCCGACAACCAGCATCGCTCCGGTTTCGAGTTGTGCACTATATGGACTGACCAGAAGAGTAAACAGCTGATGTTGTGAGCAAGCTAAACCGAGGCTGCATTGTTGAGGTAAACAACATGTACGTCTTTGTTTTTTATGTGTAACAGTGTCATATGTGTGCTCTCTGTAGCAATTACCTGCTGAACTCAACGCTGTCAAACAAGAACACTATGCAAGCTTCTGGTTGTTTGTAGACGACTCGTTGTCTGAAGATGCTTTACTAAGGGAAACTTGGGTCCATTAACTTCCTCCCACTCTAGTATCGCTGAGAGGGACGCGGTAGTGAGAGACGTGGCGTGGATGAGCAGGTTGCCCGATCCAAGATGCATGTTTGTTAGTCTGTAAACGGTATCTTCCAGGAAACCTAGGTAGTGGATAAGAGCTGAGCAGTAGTATGTTTGTATCTGACAAGAGCCGTCGGAGGTGGCCGGACCTTCCTTTGTCGCCATAGTTTGGACCCTGCGGCAAGCCTCGGCTCGCGTCATCACGTTTGGCAAAACTCCCCCGCGTCGCGTCGCCTCTTCTCTTCTTCCCTTCTTTCCACCATGTCAATAGTCACGATACCAAAATTCAGTCCTGGTGAAGCTGTGACAGAGCAAGATGGGTTGATCCATGGCGTTTCGGCGCAGGAGCTGCAGGTGTTGGGGGAACAGTGTTTTGATGCGAGGGCCAGAGCTTATTGTATGTGGCAGTAGTAATCGAAGAGGTGCTCAATAGAATGCCATGCTGACAGGATGTTTGATCAGGCCCATACTCCCTTTTCCGCGTCGGCGCATCTCTCCTCCTTACCACATCTTCTGCAACGGACACATCTGCAGCCCACACTATAATCGGCGCAAATGTCGAAAACGCGTCCTACCCTGTCGGCACTTGCGCGGAGCGCGTAGCCATGGGTACAGCTGTCATGGCAGGCCATCGCATCGGAAGCTTCAAAGCCGTTGGTGTAACGACCGACATTGACGACTTCTGCTCGCCGTGTGGAATGTGCAGACAGTTCCTGCGAGAGTTTTTGAAGCTCGACACACCCATCTTCATGTTCAACAAGGAGGGCAAGTGGATTGTGAGAACCATGGGGGAGCTGCTTCCGCTCAGCTTCGGGCCCGATGTGCTGCCACCGCGGGAGGAGTTGAGGAAGAACCAAGAAGACGACAAAGCGAAGACGGCGTGAAGCATGTCATCCTCGGACGGGTTGTTGTACTCTCTGGCCACTAGAACTAGATGATAAATTAGACACGACGAGTTCTGAAAACTCGTGATATGAATCTCGAATTTCTGCTTGTTTCGAGCTTTGTATTGAAAGCATATCCATCCAAGTCGTCTAAGAACATAGCTACTATGACCCTTCCCTGCCCCGCGGCAGCCACCATGCAGCCCGATAAGGTCCCGATAAGGTCACCATCTCAGCCAACAATCGCACATGTAATTCGCATCTCCGCGCCCCGTGGATATGTACCTTGACATAATGCCTTTCAACCAAGCAAGTAACTGGCAATTGACCTGATGACATGATGTGATGGTTCGCAGACGCGCTGCTGTGCGCGTTCTGTTCTTTTCCCTCTGAACTCTGTTTATTACCAACTGTCGCAACGACGCCTTGCGCATATTTGCAAAAATGGCCACTGCTAATGGAAACGGCACACGAGATGCTGGAATTACGGACTCGGAGCATTTCTCACCGTATAGAGCAGATGGAAAATTGGTATGTCTTGCAGGAAAAATTTCCAGATTTGTTGCAAGAGATTTAGGAAGATTTGGACACGAGTCTTGAGGACTATAGGCAGCATGAGAAGGAGTGATGATTAACGTCGCCATGTGATCTAGTATGGTTTCGTATGCGTAGTTACAGGAGCAACTCAGCCCGTAGGAAAAGCAATCGTCGCTGAGCTTGCAGGCAAGTCGCGTCCATATCCACCTTACAGTCACTCACTAACATGTCTTTGCAGCACACGGCGCAGCATGCATATATGCATGCTCTAGCCTCCCCTCAGAGCCCTACGCCGAACTCGCCGACTCAATAAACGCGCAATACCCAAATACAAAAGTCATCGGCTACCCTTACAAAATCAACTCGGAAGAAGACACTCTGGCTCTGATTGATGACGTGCTAAACTCCTGGGGCCGACTCGATGTTTGGACGTCTTCTACCGGTTTGCTAGGACCCCCGTCCATCAACCAGACGGGGCCGAAAGACTTGTACGCAGCATTTGATACAAATGCCATGCCTGCTTTCTTCGCGCTCAAGTATGCGCCCGCTGCAATGCAAAAGACAACGCCCAAGGGGAGTTATCCTAATGCTGCTCCAAAGGACGTTCCCTATGGGAGTATTATCGTCGTCACCAGCGTTGCGGGCACGTATGGTGGGTGTTGGGCCCCTGCTTTTACAATGGCTTCGCATGCTGCACTTGGTGTTGTACGCTCTGGTGTGCTCGTGCTCAAGGGAACCGGTGTGCGGATCAACGCTATTACGGCTGGGCAGATTGATGTCGGCGTCGATCTGAAGGACTGTGGCGTCAAAGAGATGGCACAGGGCCAGTTTCCTCCCGCTGCACTGCAAGGAGAGGAGAGCCAGAAGAGAACGATTGGTTTGGAGAGAGCAGGGAGGCCAGAGGAGGTAGGCAGGACGGTGGGATTCTTGGCGAGTGGGTTCAGTAGTTATATCACTGGGGCGGAGTTGAAGGTCGATGGCGGAGCGGGGGTGATGAACCCCATTACTGTTCCCGTTTAGGGTGGATAAATCGTGTTCAGAGTGTGGAGACTGTGGCATTGAGTCGATCCTGATAGTTGTGGTATGCACCTAATGCTGCAGTACAACCGGCACCCCCTTTTCCCAGTTCTCAATGCTCTCTTTGATGTTGACCCAATATCTCAACTTGACCGCTTCACTCTTGGCAGCATCTAGGTCATCCCTCTTAAACGCCTGGTCGATTATCTCCGTGCTCTCCGCTATTCTCTCCTCGTTTCTCTCCCTCATCTCCACCAAGTCCTCTTCGCTCTCTGCCTCTTCTATGTTCTCTCTCGCCTCGAGCACCTCCATCAATAACTCTGGATCGTCCACTTTGGCCGTTTCATCTTCTGCTACTTCTATCCCGCGCAAAGACAGCAGGTATTGCGCGCGCAGAAGCGGGTTTTGGAGTGTTTTGTAGGCCTCGTTTATGCGTGCTGAGAGGGCTTCGGCGCGTTTCTTGTCTGCCTGGGGATGGAGGTCGGGATGGGCGCGGGCTTGGAGTTGAAGAAACTCTTTCTTGAGCGCAGAGAGATCGATGGCAAAGGGGCCGTCTGGCGGCGGTCCGGCCGGAAGGGCATTCGGGAAGAAGGAATAGTGTGTTTGCGGGACCTGCGACGATTGTGTTGTGGCACTCTGCGTATCAAATGGCTTTTCGACGGTATTGGACGACGAAGACGTCGACTGCAATCTGCGCGATATCGCCTGGGGCGGTATGCCGTGTGCGCAAAGGAAACATGGTCTTGGGCTCTGTCGTGCGCGGAATGTCCGTGTTGTTGTTTCCGGAGTAAGCGATGCGCGGATTCTGCGCGCTGCTGATGGACGTAGTGAGCGCATCTTTGGTTCAGTGGGCGCGTTGACAGATACAGTCGGTACGGGAAAGTGGTGGTGGTGGTTGTGAATTTGGCAGGTGTAGTGACTCTTCTACAAGTGCAGCGGCGAAAGATTTCCGCGTCCACTCCCAACCGGTTACGTCATCCATCGCCGACACTTATCTGGCACAAATGAGACCACGAAGCTCGCTCGCTACCCATCTTGTACATAGCTGGCCACGAACAATTGATTCACAACTCTATCCGAAAATCCAGCAAACAAGAGCGCTCGCTAATCGATTGAGCCATCTAGAGCATATTGTGTGCCTGTTCCTTCACCTGTCTTCTCCACAATACATATTCATCCTCGGTATAATATCTTCATAAACAGGACAGTTATCGAATTGGGGCGATGCTCCGCTTATATGCTCATATTATCCTATATCTAAAACATTCTGTTAGCCTGATTGATATCACGTCTAAGTAGTACTGGCAACATACCTCATGTACTGCAAATGCTGCGTGTCTGACTTCAATTGACCTCGGAAGAGCTGAATATTATCGACGCGCGCGCCTTGACAGGATTCAGCCATCGTAACGTTGATTGTTGGAAGCATGCAAGGTAATGCGACATGCAGAACGAAGGAAGTCCTCACTCAGGAATCAAGGGACCTCGGTCAAACTCCGTCTCGACGAGCATCGCCTTTTCCTACCTCGTCAGCCTGTCGTACTTGCTCCTCAAACCATTGCAACAATCGCTCAGTGGCCTCGATATTCCGGCTCATCATCTCGGCATCCTGCACAAGACGCTTGACGTGCTCAGCGACATGAGTCCCTTCCTCGGGCTCGAAGGCTCTAACCCGGGTAATACTATGGTCCAGATGGCGTAGTAACTCCTTTTGTCTTGACCAGGTTGTGCGTATTCGTTCCGTTACAGTTCTTGGACCGTGATAGCTCATCTGGACATCTTCCGCTGGATGTTGGGGCGTTTTGTACGCCTTTGTGACGTCCTGGAAGACTACATCTAGCTCTGTACCCATGGAACCTGCTTGTGTTATCTGTTGCAGTTGCTTTTGCGCATCGTATTCGTGATACTCAAGGGCCGCATACCGAACTACCAGATCAGAAGCCATATTGTTCAGCAGTTGTAGTTCTCGACGAATGATATCCTTCTCCCTGTCTTCGTGCACATGTTGGTAAAACTCATCTTCTCTCTGTGCAAGGTGCGGCCAAACGTATTGCATCTCGGCGCCCACCTGCTTTTTGAGCGCCTGGACTTGCTCCAACCAATCCTGCACTTTGCTAGCGTCTCGTGACTTGAGATCGTCCTTGTACGCACGATATCCGTTTTCCACATCAGGTCCCTCAAGTTCGTTTTCTTTAAACTCGATCTGGATGACAGTTTCTCTCTCCATTTCAGCTTTTAGTGCAGCCAATGAGCCACCACCAGGCCCGGAACTCCCTCCATGCCCCACTTGGATCGGTCCACCAGACATACCACCCATTCCCCCAATTTGCAGAGGGCTGCGGAGAACTCCCATTAACGAAGACGAGTGGTACCAGAGCGCGAGTTTGCCGATTCGAGAGAGGGAGGCCCTGGCCCTTTCGTCGTTCTGTAGCTTTTCATATTCCTTTTGTCGAGCCGTAGTAACCGTCTGATCGAAGAGCTGGAGGAGTGTTGGGGAATGACGGAAAACCAAGGATTGGCTGGTCTTGACGTTAAGCGCAGATCCAACCATAGCCGCTCCAAAGAATCGTGAGAAACCATAGGCACCTGGCAAAGCCCGCGGATTCAATGCCATGAATATTCCTAGTGCTCCACCAACCAATGCCATATCTTCAGAAGTCCATTGCTTGGTCTGTTCCCATAGCTTGCCAGGCTTGGGTTGTATGTTCTCCATCTTGAACACACCTCGATTCAATTCATGGCGCCCGTATATCCCAGATGCTGTCCAGGTAAGGTCTACGGCGCTGATAAAGGCGGCGGATTTGAGAAACACGCCAGGTCGGGAGCGGCCGACAAGAGCCAGGCTGCCTGTAACAACCGCAGCGCCTACACAACCTCTCCATGGTGCTGCGATGAGGTCGCTTTGTGTGGCAATTTGGGCAGGCGGTTTGAGGAGGGAGGGCAGTTGTCCCTCGCCTGTCCTTGTCAGATCTGAAGCTGGGTATCTCTGGGGGGTCCAAGTGCTCACCTTCAGGAACCAGCAATCGCACCATTGTGGATTTTTACTTTTACGAAACGTGTAGAGGAGAAAGTACGACCGCGAAAGCCATCGGAATTTGGCGTTGCAAGGTCAAAGTTGGCGGAAATAGTAGAGGCGTGATGCAAGGCTGGCCGACATTGAGGGACGCGTCCATGATGTCGAAGCGAGATGCGGCGCGACCCTGGCGGTAGCGCATCCGTCGCGACAATCGCAGCACCTCATACAAGAGAAAAACTAGGTAGATGCAGAAATAGTGACCTCTACCTTACACCTTACATTATCCCTTGATAAGAAAACTTATAAAGATTGATAGCATTGTAGTCTTCTAGGTTTTCTATATATACATAGCTCTTGATATGGTTTCATGTAGTAGAAAGTAGTACTCTTAAGAGAGACGTTTATTGTTTCTCTTCAATACAATAGCTGTCTAGATTCGCGCCTATTCGCAGCACACGTCCTGTTGATGATGTGATACTAATTGGTCAAGGGTCGATTTGGCCATTATTTGATTTGATTATCTTAATCACTCGATGGTCAGATCTTGAGCTCCCTTGCCACGTAAGACCATCTAAATACCTAGCAAAATCTGGGAAATGTTTGCGTCATTATATGTATTCGGGATGCGTGTCTTCGATTGAGCTTTGTTTGCTGCTTTCTTAGGGGTGACGAAAAGAAAAACAGTATAGATCGTCCATCCTAAGTTCGGAAATACACTTTTCGAACCCAGACATTCGGAAGCAGCCATTCTATAGAAAATTGCCGTGCGGGTTCAACGGTCTCTTTGGTTCCTTGGTAGCTCCCCTGATTGTTGAGTCATCTGGTGGTGAAGACAAAAGCAAAGTTCCAAGACCAACCCAACGAACATATATTGATGCCAATGCTGTATCATTACAGTATTGCTGCTCATGGCTGTTACGAGCTAATCAAACTACCCCACCATCATTCCTGTCGTTGTTCGCTTAGCCGGCACGGCCCCATGGTCGATGTCGTACTCCATGATCTTCCGTGTTTTTGATATATATTTTTATCTACCGGATTCCACTTCATCAACAGCAGCTTAACAGCGGCAAATTGGTCTTATGGTCTAGTGGTAGTACGTATTATTCAACCCTCAACGGAAGTCATCAGCATCTAACATTCCATCAGTGATTCTCGCTTAGGGTAAACCCAAGCACAGCTTGCGAGAGGCCCCGCGTTCGAGTCGCGGTAAGACCCCTTTTTTGCTCTCGTGGACGACTGGGTAACAACGGGAATGCTGGAAGTGGTCATGTTCTTTTTGCAGTAGCTCAGATAGGTGGGTGGACAGGTGTATATGTTGATACTCCATGAACAGACTTTGTTGCACGACAGCATGCTTGCGCTCAAGGCATTTAAAATGCAGTGCCACGGCACACTACTTACTACGCAGGTTCTTGCCGATATATGAAAGTATAGTGGGATTTTGACATTGTTTTGTAAATCTACACTGCATCTACCTTCTTGGTATCGCCCTTCTGATTCTGTGCAACACCAAATGTTGCTCCCCCTTCTTCAATAAACCTACGCTCTTCGTCTGTACTGGTCCTACCCAAGGCAGTGTTCCGATGGGGATACCTACCAAACTGTTCCAGTATGTCCCTGTGTTCCTTCGCAGCCTTCTGGTAGTTCTCAACCCACATCTTCGTGCCATTATACCCATCTAAGCCTTCGAGCTCTCGAGAAAACTCTGTCAAGATTCCATCGGCGAGGTCATGGGCAGATAGATCTTCAGAGTGCATTAGAGGCATGTAAAGCCAAGTCCTGTGCGCAGCAGAGAGACGCATGGCTGGATGTGTATCTGGGCGGGGAATGGGCGAAGAGTGCGACAGAATGTTGCGAGTGAATGCATGAGCAATGCGATCGTAATGCGTGTACACCAGTCGCAATCCGTCTTCCGTGCGGTATATATTCCGTGGCATCTGGTCTAGCAGCAGTGCGAAACTCAGTGCCGTCCATGCAGCTTCCTCTCCCGTCGCAGCATCTGCCTTGCTTTCCTCCTCCGCAACTCGCGCAATCTCGTCTAGAAATGGCTGCGCACTCGCTTCTGGGAATTTGTCTGGTCCGATTGCTTCAAGCGCATTCACGCATGTGCTTCTACATTGTCCATCGAAGACGTCTCGCTCCTCAGGACTGCTTGCGAACCAGCGTTTCGCAACGCTCATATCAAAGTTCTGACCAGTCGTATCAACGCCAGAAAACCACAAGTCTGTTATCTTCCTGTATAATGATCGATTGAACATCGCAGGGTCGAGAGTGAAAGTAGACGTAGACATTGTGCGCTGGTACGTAGTGGAAAGGCTCGATGGGCGGAAGTTCGATGGGCGGAGACTCGACAGATATAGGCTGGATGTAAGAAAGCGAAGCGGCGTACGAACTGCGAGGCGGGCAAGCATGTTCTGTAATGTTAGCTATGAGACTATGCACGCAGTTTTTATAGGTCGAATAGAAACAGCTTCATGACGCGCTGTTTGAGCCTGTTGTTTGACTAAATCGCAATTCTCTGGTAAGGTGGACATGCTCGGTGGTTTGGGAGGAGCCGACAGCGACGGCTGACTAAATGGCCGCCTGAACAGGGCTGGTTCGGCCTCCGCACTCCTTTCATGAGGATCAAACAACAGGCTTTCCTCTAGACCGCTACAACATCTCATTACCTGCGGACAATAATTTCAGGACTTGAATAGGTAGCTAAGAAGTCTTTGAGCGGACACTAGTGGAAAGACGAGGTGTCGTACTGGTGGCGGGTGTTTGGTGGAGCTGCGCCAGCGCGCAAGAGGGCGCTATAGCACCTGCATCTTCCCCAACGCCAGAAACAATGTCTTATCCCGGACCGAATGCGTCGGACGTTGGAGTAAAGTACAATTCGTGATCAAGGTAAGCTCACCTACTCCGCATTCCCCTCTTCTGCACTAAGCATGCGCAGCGTAGGAATCATCCAACCGAACATGTGGGGAAACTTGCATGATGGCACGTTCAATGCGCCGAGCCTCAAGATGCGGCAATATTCCATGGACATACCCCCGTATATCAAGTCTTCAAGATGACCCATTAAATGCACTGCATGATTCTACTTCTATTTTGTTGTCTCCCTCCAGATATACCTTGAGACTGGCTCTCCTCAGCTAGCCCCACATGTACACCATCGTCCTAGTCATACTATTCTTCGTAGTCTTCATCCTTTACACGCGATACAAGGATAAGGCACCATCCGGAACAAAAACCGCGCCTGGACCTGCGGGTCTTCCAATCCTTGGAAACGCACATCAATTGGGCCAACAACCACATCAGCAAATTACCGCTTGGGCCCGCGAGTATGGCGAAGTCTATAAGATCCGTTTGGGATGGAACGACTGGTATATGATATGCTCGCCGGATGCATGTAAAGAGATTCTAGACAAGCAGTCAGCTCATACAAGCTCTCGAGCACCATTACCGGTATCCGGGGATGCACTAGGCGGCGGAATGAGGTTCCTGTTCATGGAGTACGGTCCAGAATGGAGGAAGCTAAGAGGTATCAGTCATAAGTTGTTAACACCAGCTGTAAGCGCGACGTTTAAACCAAGTCAGGAGTTTGAGGCGAAGATGTTACTTGAAGAAATATTGAAGGGCGCGGACCCAGGGAAAGGAAATGAAGTGAGTTACAGAGCGATCAGACGATATACTGTAAGCGTTATCATGACGAGCACATATGGGAGAAGGATACCGGAATGGGTGAGTGACACATGCAACAGTACAAACATGGGTTGCTAATGAGCTACAGGACTGCGATGAAGTTCACGGCATCTACGATATCATGAACGATTTCTCTACAATGGCAAAACCAGGTACCTACTTGGCAGACACGCTTCCGTTCCTCGGTAATCTTCCACCACGACTACAATGGTGGCGTAAAGGAGTCAGACCATATTTTGATAAGCAAGCGAATCTATGGATGTCCTTTTGGAGTACTCTTAAAACTCAGATGGAGACCAAACAAGCCCCAGAATGTTTCGTAAAGCAGTTCATCGAGAGCGACTATGAAAAGCAGGGTATCAGTGAGTTACAGGCAGCATTCTTGGCTGGCAGCATGATCGAAGCTGGAAGCGAGACGACGTCGGCGGCGCTCAATACGGCCATCCTATACCTCAGCGCAAACCCACTTGCACGACAAAGAGCAGTCGAGGAAATAAGAGGGATTACCTCGTCCTCTCGATCCCCAACGTTCGAGGATGAGTCAAGACTTCCGTACATCCGCGCCATCGTCAAGGAAACCCTACGTCTACGCCCCGTCACAAACATTGGTACGCCACACTATACTACCGCGCCCATAACCTACAAAGGCATTCACATACCTGCCAAATCAGTCGTGTGTCTCCAACAATACCCGATTCACTACAATCCAGATCATTTTGCGGATCCCCAACTTTTTAATCCAGAAAGATACATCAATTACTCCCATGGCAGTGGACACTACGCAGCTGGCCCAGCTGCGAGTCGCGATCACTGGGCTTTTGGTGCGGGCCGCAGAATTTGCTCGGGTGTGCATCTAGCTGAGAACAGTATGTTCATCGTATTGGCGAAGCTGCTATGGGCTTTCGACATTTTGCCGCCGCTTGATCAACAGGGAAATGAGCTGCAGGTAGATACTAGCGATGAAGCGTTTGACGCTGTCGGAAGCACTACAATGGCCAAACCGTACCGGGTGAGATGGAAGGTGCGAAGTAAGGATATTGAAGACACAATCATAAGAGAGGCAGCTGAGGCTAAGAGAGACGGCTATGTTCTAAGAGGCGTGCGTGTTGGTGAAGAGGGTGTTGAGTATTAAGCTTGAAAGTGGCGGTCTCGTGTGCGACTTGTATCGTTCGGCATAGTATTCATCAGGTGTGCTTGTTGCAGTGCATTGTCTAGTCAATGCTTCCATTTGTCGTTTGTCGTCTCCACTTGGGGTAGGTGCTTGTGTTGCCTGCTCAATCGCACTTCTCTCCCTGTCAACTTCGTTCCCCTTGTTCGGCCGCGACTACTGCAATAAACCAATGACACTTTCGCCCAACGCTCTACTCATGTCGTCGCCCCAGAATCACAGCTTGCTGAATCACCCGAGCTCGCCGGTTTCTGCAAGACCGCTGACACCAACCGCACAAAAATCAACCTCACTAGACGAACGTCTGCTATCCAAAGGCAACATCAGTATGGCGTCACCTTTACAGCCCATTGACCCGCAGCGCCTTTCTTTCTCGCCAGCCGACTGTCGCACCCTCCAGAAGATGCTGCACGACGTGCGCAGCCCTTCACCTCTTTCTCCAACACCGTACTTTAGCGACGGGCCAGTAAGTCAGTCAATTCTGACTGAAGCTCCCAACAGTAAAAACTGCGAGGACAAGATGAGCTGTGAGGGTCACCAATCAGCTCACAGTGACGAGCGAAAAGACGGCTACGAAGACGAAGACGACAGTATGGAGCTGAGCGATGGCGAAGATGCTTTTGGAACAGATGAGAAAGATAGCGATACGATCGAGGACATCATGAACATGCCCGGCAAGATGGCATCGTCTGTGCCGGTTTGCGACTACAGCAGATTCTATCCTCACAATCAGCAAGCCTCCGACAGGGCCAGAGAACTGGAGCGCCGTCGCGCTTCAATCGAGAAAGATTTGAAGGAGCAATGTCGGCGACAGAAGCGAGTGCAGAAAGCAGCCGCCGCAGACGGGGATTACAACTTTGATATGCCGATCGATGGCGTATCAGACCACAGGCTAGCTATCGTGGAGACCTTTGACCTCAAAGCTCTCTACAAAGATGAAGAGATGCATCTGGTGGAAGGACAACAGATGGCCACTAATTTGTATGATGTGAGGCATCATGTCCATGACTCTACACAGCCTCCGCTAACCATACGGCAGTCCTCCGAAGCTTCCAGAGACTGTCATCAAATGGTCGTTTCACCCAAGAATGTTCGCAAAGCCTTAGAAGGCACTCCACCAGCATCGGATTTCTCCATCAACTTCCCTTCCCCTACTTGCGTTGTCGTACGGACCCCCAACGGCAAGCACATCGACTTCGCAACCTCCGACTTCATCCCAGATTCGCCCGTAGGTCCCACACTTAGATGCGTCAAAGCACAAGAAAGCGACGAACTCTCAACATCGGAACATAAAGGTCACGCATCTTCCCAAGGAAAACTCACTGAGCTTGCGCGAGAGGCCAGAGAGGAAGAAGAAGAGGCAGCGGAGCAGAGAGCTTTGGCTGAGCTAGATAAATTCAGAGACATGGACCTTGCGCCTATAGAGACGGTCATGGACGGCGGACCAGCAGGAGACTTGATCACGTACGGGACGCCTGTGAAGGCAAAAGATGAAGAACTATTTTTACGTAGGGCACCTGATGGATCTGGCTCCGAGCTTGAGGGTTGGAATCACATAAAACGCTGGCAATCTTCGATTTCTCCACCTCGCCAAAATCCTTTTTTGATCGAGCAGGATCAAGAGAACGGCGCGGATGTCGAAGACTCGGATACCACGTCCATTTCGAAGCAGCAATACCTCTCTGTTGTCCCCAGACGACCTACTTTTATCACAGTCATCGGTATGCTTCCAGCGGCAATGTTATGGGCCACTATTGCACAAGTCGTCGACGGCAGCAGTAAAGTGTTCGACGTGCTCATTGAGAGATTGACAGGTTTAAAAGTGTAGACCACTAGTTGGGAACACAGTCACGGAAGCTTTCTACGAGAATGGTATGGTTATGTCTTCAGGCTTGAGACTATAGAGAGGATAGTAAGCGCTTACATGCGGGTGTCGATTATACGTTGCATTTAACATCTTTGTACATTACTAGCGACAAACATGATATATTACGTAAATCTTAACAAAGAACAAACCACTTTTTCGAGGTCGCGATTCCGCTTCATGACTCTGCCTGCCGCTGCATAACACCTTGGCTATGCGGTTCAACGCCACCCAATGCAAACCGTGTACACCATCCCTGACTAACTCTACCTTGGCACGCTCCGTACCTATCCAGATCACGCTGTTGAAGCGTCGCGAAACCAGTTCCCATCGAATTGGAACGATATCAAAGATCATTCTGTGATTATCTTGATCATCATCCTCTTCCCCACAGGCCTTGCAATTGGGTAATCGAAAGACACTGCTGGGAAGAGGATGCTAACCGTCACCTCGTATTCCTCTCCCCTTCTTCCCCACCGCCATCTACCTCATCCTCCCCATCATCATTATCATGACCCTCATAGTCTGTCAGATCATCGCTCATGATGTGTAGTATCTGACTGAATGTTCTGCTCTTCCAGCGACCCATGCCCTCCATGAGATCTGCACAATGTAACAAGGTGCGGCGAGCCGCGAGATATCCGCCCTCGAGTGTGATACCAGTTATACTAAAGCTCCCACCGTGGTGTATGAACTTCACGACTTGCGAGGTGTCGCCGAATGCCACAGGTGATTGCGGCGTATCGATAAAACCAAGCTGGCCAACAGATATCCAGTCTACGAGATCGAGAAGCTCGATGCACGAGTCGTTGATAGGACAATTGGGCGTTGGAGGAAGGGCGAAGATGTATAAGCCTAGGACGAGGGCAGCGTGGAACAGAGCGACCACGCTGTGTGGGTTGACGATATCACTAACTTTTCGGTCGAAGAGTAGTTTGTAGATGTGGGCGGCGTGCAGCACGCTCCTTCTTGCGCTTGGTGTTTGACACCATACTGAGATGTCTTCCAGAGCGTTGACGGCAGGCTCGGGACCGGAGCGTCCAGCTGCGAGTTCGAAGTAGCGTATGTTTGCTCCAAGCACCATGCAAGAGGCGTGCCAAAGGACAGCGGAGTTCAAGTCCGCTGTTCGAAGTGCGTCGATCGAAGAACTGGAGAGGTTCACCAACAGCGGCAGGATGTCTCGACTACGAGCATCTTCAGCGTATATGCGCCAGGGCTGTAGCTGCTTTTGATTTCCTGTCGCTTGAGCAAGCCTATCGTTGCTCTCGTAGATGCGTAGGAGGAGAAGGGTCAATAGTGAGCGAAAGCTTGATGCATCGAGTTTCCGTCCCGGGGTCGGATGGAATGACGGTGTTATCTTCTGCGAGTGAATTCTTGCGCCACGCTGTACAAGATTAAACCATTTCGCTGCGCTGTTGACGTGATATAGGGAGTAGTCCGAGGGTGGCAAAATTTGTACTGTTTCGGGGCGGATCATTGGCGAAGTTGATAGATAGCCTGCCCACCAGCAATCTGCTTCTATGAGACCAAAGATGATACGTTTGCTGCATTCAACCTTGGACCAAGCCTTCCACTTGGAGTCGATATCGATCATCTCGTCGAGAAGAGGGTCGATCTTTACACCCTCATTAGCGGAGAAAAGCCCCTGACTTTGCGAAAACTGGAACAGTTAGTTGAATGACTGGGAGCAGTGTATATAAGCGGCTATGTACCTCGATGAGCTCTGCATACATCTTCTCTGCTTGTGCAATACGGCTCTTTCGCTATGTGAATGTTAGCCAACAATGTATGCTATCGGTTAGTGCTACTCACTCCTGTGATCGATGCCAAATTAAGCGCAAGCAAGCTAGTGGCAATTATCCGCATTTGCCTATGCGGCGGATGGTCTGTTGTCGGTAATGATTGCAGTTCCGCCAACGCAAGTTGTAACACAGCCTACGCATATGTTAGTCGTCATGGGGCATATACCACTGCAATGTTGCTTACAGGAAATGTGCGTGTAACAAACTTTGCTGCACCTGCCGTGCCAAGGATGCTTAGTCCAATAAGACACATACAAAGTAGCAGTGGCCGGGGCGCATTCTTTGCCGAGAAAGTAGGAATATGGATGATTGGAAGGGTAGGATGAAAGTAATAGAGATACATCTCCAATGCGATATCCAAGATTTCAGCAGGTGGGAACTGCACACCCTCGATACTTGGACTTCCTGCTGCATCGCCGCTCGACGACGCAGTGTCGCCATAGGATTCTGACCGTGGCGGTCCGGATGATGGTAAATTGTTCAGCGTGCTTTGGAGCCTGCTCCTGCACTCTTCGTCCAGTCCCCAACGCGAGTTCCGCCGTTCTCTTTCGCTCATTGGAGTTTCCATAGCTCCAGAGCCAACTTCTGAGAGTATGTTGGTGCATTCGCACGCCACTAGATTCTGCCATAGGTCTGGCATCAGCCGCGTTGATTTGCGATTCCTGGACGGCCAGCAACTTTGGACTCGCTGAAACCGTTCTCGTGGGACTCTGCTTGCTATTGAAACACTGCTACCCGATGGACTAGCTTGATTTTCTGGGACTGTTCGAAACGCCTCATGGTCGAAAAAGCCGTCTACGCCCAGGTGGTGTGATCCATGAGGAGTATTCATATCACCTTCGAGCGGAAACAGCCATGTTTGTAAGGCGTCTGCAGGAGTACGGTTGGGAACTGGGTTGTTGCTTTGAACGAGCTCAAAAGCCCACTGGTCCAAACTCGATACATGTCCGGCTGGTGAGAATATGAGGGCCTCCATAGCCGGGTCGATCGGTGGACCCATACTTTCGTGAGGATTTCGATTGGACATCTGAGCATGTTCTGCACGCGCAATGATCATAGGTGATGGCGATCGCCATGGCGTGTCGGTTCCGGGTTCGAGATGCTGTGCCGCGTTGATAAGCGCTTCTATTCGGTCCTCACCGGGTGACGGCGGCTGCAATCGCGATGGAGGTTGCCGGGCATGAGTCTGCGGAGAAATATGCGCGTTGTACTGATCATTCACGTTGATTTGCGGTATTTGGGATTCTCTTCTCCTAGACATAGGCGAGAAGTTGGAATCTTCACGGATTAATGGCGTTGGTCCTGGAGTCGGGCCGTTCGCGGTTCGTGATGCAGATGGTCGTGATGTTTGGTTCTCGTCCATCGAGTTGTGACGGAACTCTTGCTGATCGTTGGTGTTTTGTTGCTCATTGCTCTTCATCCGGTTCATCGCATTCTGCGCGTGGCCTTTGCAGTGCCGGAACAGAACATCGCTATTCGCAGAGGTTGGACGCTAGTACGGAGGTTTTTCATTGGGGGACTCACCTGCGCGAGAAGTGCTTTTTACATGTCGGGCACTCATAGGGTCGTTCTCGTGTGTCTGAGATGATGTTTAGTCAACGATGATAGTGAAGGTTTATGATAGACGGACGCGACCGCTCATGCCTTTTCACGTGCTCTACTGAAGGAGATGTCAGCCCACTTTCTTGACGCGCTTGGCCGCGACATACATTTGGTGAATGTGCGATCGCACATGCTGCACTGTTTCAACGCCATGTCGCTCGTCGCAAAGATTCGATGTGTAGGCGGATGTCGGAGGACCCTTCGAGGGTCGGTGTTTGCAGGTGCTGTCTAGGTCGCCAAGAGATCGCGGACTGCGGGGGAAAGCAAGACCATGACTCGGCCTAAGCATTATAGGCTCATCTCAACCTTCATCTACAAAACGCATATAAACCTGCAATCCCGCTGCAGCAGATTGCGCCGCGCGCATATGTGTGTCTCCGAAGGATACAGCTGATCTTCAAGTCGGTGGTCCACAATCGCCACTTGGAGATACCTCCGGCGTGCAGGACCCTCAGACCATCGTCTAACGCCATGCCATCACCAAACACCGCAAATCGCACCGTGCCTTGTCGCACTTGTTGGATGACGAGATAGATGAACCGAAGACAAACCTCAAATTTCAAAGACTTCTCGAAGGATTTCGTCCTGCTCCAACCCCGGATCGACTCTCATGTGGGACCATGAGGCGTACGCTAGTGGGGCCTCCCCTGACTGCTGACCGTGTTGGAATCTCCGACTGTCTCATTCGCCTCATTTAGGTGACTAGCTTTGCTTGATTTGGCGCATTGAATCAATCAATTGCTACTTTAGATGTCGGCTAGCCATGTTTCATTCTGTCAATCTTCCGCTAGAGGTTTGCACATCGGATGATCGCGTCTCAGATAAGTAAGCGGATGGGTATACGACTAACGTACATGAATTCACTGAAAGGACAAGGCCAGTTGAGCGTGAGCGTGTGATATGTCATTGTCGGCTCAAGGGAAATACCAGAACTGAGATTTGGAATGTTGGTCAGTAGCCAATGACAAGCACATGACAATTACTACCATCTGCACTGAATAGTTTGCACACCTTCGTCAAGTCTGGAACAGATACTTGAGCTACGAGGGCCAGGCCAACTACATGAAACCGATGTTTCTTTGTATCAGCGATTAAGCAATCGCTCCTAAGTTATGCTGTTTTCGCGAACATATCCAACACTGCAGAATACACGACTAGCAATACACCTCCACCTGGTCCAAATCTAAGTATTTTCGCCACGTATCCCTTGTATAACGCTCTGAACCCTTCTTCTCTTGCAACGACACCTAGACTCGGCCACGCCCAAGCGTACTTCCGCCTTACACCAGGTGTTTTAGCGACGCTCTGTATTCGACTCTTGATTACATCTAACGGGGTATTGAATGTCGTTCCCACAACACCTCCCACAAACCCGGCGATGAGATCGTTTCCCATTTTCTGTCTTCTCGGGTTGCTCGATGTCGCTGGAGCGGGTAGCTGAGCCCGCACTTGGAAAATGCAGCCAAAATACCCGGCGTTCCATACAATGTGCCGCCATAACGTGGCTTCGAAACCGTTGTATAGTGCCAATGGCCCCTCTTGGCGAACTACTTTGACGAGACAGTCGAGGAGGCCGTTATATCGTGATGCAGAGGTCTTGTCTTGTAGTCGAATCTTGAGTAGCTCGAAAGGAACAACTACGAGGGATTCTGTTGCGCCGGCGCTGGCACCTGTGAGGATTGCGAGAGGTTGGGTTACTGTCGGAGTAGAGAACAGGTGTTGATAAAACTGTGTGAAAGTATCGTTCGCCGAGAACTTGATAGCACTGCCTTTGATCAGCTGTTGTCAACTCGAGAGGAAGATTTGATCGTACCGCTTGGGTACCTCCATCAATATAGGCGCAGTAATACCGCGATATAATCTCAACACGCCCTCGTTCCTGATAATCTTTTTGAAGCAGTCCAAGACACCGTTGTACCCTTCACCATCAATGACTTTGCCATGCTGAAGTTGGATCCGTGTCTTGACTACATCAAGCGGATACCTGTCTATGTTCTTAGTAGCTTTCTCGAATTCTAACATCAAGGTACCTAATCTCACATTACCAAAATTTCTGATATGCCAGCAATAGCCCCAGCAGCAAACTGGTAACGGAACGGCAGTGCCGTTGCATTGTTACCTGTTTCAACTGCAATAGTCTTAGTTGTCATACTGAAGATACCTAGGCATCTACTTAACAGTGCCTGGCTTTTACACGTTCAACACGCGTTTACCAGCCACGCCATCCTCGCACAACACTCAGTCCGCATTCTACCCCCACTAGTCGTATACCACATGGCCGGCTTTCGCAATATCAAGCCCACATGGCACATGCAGGGCACAATACATCCGCGATATGGCCACGAGCATGTCGCGTGAAGGACGTTGTGGGGTACATGCTGATGGCGCATGTGGGGCTAGCGCACTTATCCGGTGATCCGCGTCGAAGAAAGCGGAGCCACGTGGGGCTTCGCGAAACGTCACTCTCAAAGGTTTGCTGACGGCGGACAAGCGGCTTGGGAAATTCGGTGGTTGGGTGTTGGAGAACGTGCAGCGTAAGACTAAAAGCTTGCAAGGATATCGAATCATGTGACGACGCGTAAGTTGATGAACCGTATTCATTGGCACGCGTTCTTGTTTCGAGGATTTGGAATGCAGGGGTAGCGCGCAACATCAACATCTACGCAACAACTTTCTTATCTCTCAGCTCCTTGATCTCGCTCTCTCCATATCCCAACATGTCCCTTAATACCTCATCGGTATGCTGCCCCAGTAACGGCGGTGGACTCCTGATCCGCGGCTCGGCTCTCGAATATTTCACCGGATGATTGACAAGCTTCACCTTGCCCACCGCTGGATGATCGACCTCCTGAATCATATTGCGCGCAAGAACGTGTTCGTGTTCAACCGTGCCCTTGATATCATTCACAGCCGCGTATGGCATTCCGCTTCCATCGAAGATCTCCAGCCACTCTTGTGTTGTCTTGGTCATGAGTTCGGCTTCGACAAGCGTATCGATCTCCGTACGGTGTTTGACGCGGAGCGCGTTTGTGCGGAAGCGAGGATCGGTTTTCCATTCCGGGCGTTGTAGCTTGTCGCAGAGGATGCCATAGAGGCGGTCGTTGCAGCCGCCAACTGCAATGTTCGTGTCTTTTGTCTTGTAAGCTCGGTAGGGTACTACTGTTGCTATGGTCAAGTCAGTATGATCATCGGTCTTACATCTCAAGTCTGCGCTTACCATGTGCAGTTCCCCATCGACCACTGTCGCCTTTGCCTGTTACCAGCGCACTGCTCGCGATGTTTGCCAATCCCGAAACCTGCACGTCGCTCAAACTCGCATCGATCCACTGGCCTAAACCAGTCTCTTTCCGCGAATATAACGCCGCCTGTATGCCAATCGCAGTGTACATGCCAGTCATAATATCCGTGACCGCTACGCCAACCTTGACTGGTGGCCCATCCCTCTCTCCAGTGATGTGCATCAAGCCCATCTCAGCCTCGACCATCACATCATAGCCTGCACGATCGCGGTATGGTCCTGTTTGTCCATAGCCGGTGACAGAAGCGTAAACAAGGGAAGGATTGAGCTTCGCAAGGGTTGCGTAGTCGAGCTGGTACTTTGCGAGCGATCCCGGGAGGTAGTTCTCAACAAGCACATCGCATTCCTGCGCGAGCCTGTGCAGAATGGAGATTCCTGTGGAGTTGTTGAAGGCTAGCCCAATCGACTTCTTATTACGATTTACCTGCATCCAGTCAGAGAGTCACATACACGGTTATACTCATCAGACATACGGAAAGGTAATATGCGCTTTCGCCAGGGAACTGACGCTCGACACCGTCCGTATATGGTGCATCTGGTGGGCCCCAGGATCGTGTGTCGTCGCCTCGTGTGGGGTGTTCGATCTTGATCACATCTGCTCTGATCACTCATCAGCGTCTGTTCTATCTAGCTATGTGTCCATTACTAACCCAAGATCTCCAAGTATTTGTGTACAGTATGGCTACTTTGAGATTAGCGACTGCGTTTCCATTTCGCCGAGTCAATCACATACCCCGGCTAATACTCGGGTCATGTCCAGGACTTTGATTCCAGCCAAAGGCAGTTTCTCAACCATTTGTTTGGAAACATTGTTCTTGGTCGCGATATTTCTTCTCTGTGGTTGCGATGTTCGGGTAGCGATCCGACTGGCTATGGGTCGAAGGTACGCGTGTGGTATTGCTCTCGCAACGGTCCTGAAAGAATACATGGTCCTGCTCTAGGCTCGTCATGGTCGTCAACGGTGATGTTAAAAGAACGTAGCTTGATGTCTGGAAGTTTTTGCCCCACATGAAGCTTGTGGGGTCCGCAAAGGGTTCCCGTATGTGAATGCACAGACGTTTTCTGATTTGACAGACATTGAGACAGTATTCATTGCACAGTATTGAATGCGGTATATACAATGTACATGTAGTGTTGGAACTCGCACAACTACATCGCTAAATTGACTGAGACGAGAAATTGAGAACACAAAAGAACATTCATGCATGGACGCCATTTGTTCCGTTGGCCTTCGAGTCGGAGGTCAGATATTGCTTCAGCTCTTCGGCGTGAACACCATCTGTGTTACTGGTGTTGGCACCATGTGAAAACCCACCGAAGTAGTACGGTGCAAGCCTCTTCTTCTCTGCGACCTTGTCGTCCTTGATTCGAGCCAGTAACTCTTGTGCTCTCTTGTTGGCAGAGAAGCGATCCGGAAGTGCATCCCAGACCTTGTAGTCGGTTCCCCGTGTTTCGATTGTCCCGCAGTCCTTACGAGCGTATTCAGTAAAGAGGAAGAGACGGCTTGATTCGACCATGATGGTCAATTGGTCTAATTCGACATTAGCAATCTTGCGACTGTTTGGTAATTAGCGTGGCTTACCAGTGAGAATCTTCTCGGGTTGGCTCTCATGTATCCGCATACCATGTTGGTATCCCTCATGAAATCCACCGTGGGGTGTGTGACCGCCCTCGAAACTACCTCCACCAGGTCGGAAATCGTCGCTTCTTCCAAGACCTTGTCCGTATAGACAGGCAAGGAATTCGGAGGCGGAATTGCGGTGGAAGTAGGGTAGTCGGAAAGTGTTGGTCGCAACATCCCACCTTGGACCGAACCAGAGGAAGTCAGCTAATGGTGTCAAAGGATCGCGGGATTTGGCTGTGAGGACTGTGAAGATCGATGGATCAGTGTGATCGATGGATGTGCTGTTTTGCGAAGAGAACTTCGTAAGATCATACTTGTACGGAACAACGTTACCGTGCCATGCGACAAGATCGAAGGGGCTGTGGTCTTGTTGTATCGCCACAAGCTGACCGTTGGTCTTGTTGACGATCTGCCAGTCTACGTGCAGATCATCATCGATAGCGGCTACCGGGTAGAGGAAATCGCGAGGATTGGCAAGACCATGGCCACCTAGTGGGCCAAGATCCGGAAGCTCCCACATTGACCCCCAGACTTCTGTGATATAGCCACGCGCCACTGGTGTATCCGGAGCCAAGTTCAGGCAAAACCTAATACCACGCTGTATAACACAGATCTCACCAGGTTGCAAGAAGATCTTCCCCATCTCAGTCTTTATGTCAAGGTTGCCTTGTTGCGCGCAGATAAGGAAGTCGCCATCGGTGTTACAGAATGCTCGTTGTTCCATACTCGAGTTGATCATGTATACGTATAGCGCAAGACCCTCTTTGATGTTTGGGTCTCCGCTGCCGCAGAGTGTATGCAGGCCATCGACAAAGTCGATTTTCTCATCTTCTTTTGGCAGTGGAAATGGATGCCATTCTGCTTGCTCAGGAAGCGTCTCGACTTTGGGATTGATGGACAAGAAACAGTTTGTGATGTTCGACTTTGTCTCAATCGGGATGTAGCCCTCTGTGATACGTTAGCATATTCGTGCAGGAAGAGTGATAGCAACACATACTATGAGCAGCTGCGGGTCGGCATCGGTACATGTAAGTACTAAAGTTGTGGGCGCGGGGTGCTGCGAATGCTGAATATGTGATGCCTTCAGTATAAAGTCCGAATCGAACTTCCTGAGGGTTATTCTGAGCAACGGGTAAAGTCCCTGGAATGACCTCTGATTGATGTCGATTTCCCCATCCCGCTTGATAGTCGTATGGGTCGTTTGCACGTGTTGGCTTCAGTCTTTGGAGATCTGTGAAGTGGAATGCCTTTTGTGGATCGGTGACGAGCTTGCGTTCTTTGAAGTCTTGCATGATGTTGAATGTATGACGATGGACTGTAGGTGTGATCAAGCTTACCATGTCAAGAATCAGCCTTATATTGGACTATCCATGGCTATGGAACTTTAGGCCGACATCTGCCGCAGCTAGGTGGTCCGGCCTGTGCATGATGTGGTGGCGGGGCTCGATACACATAATAGCGGGGTTACCAATTCGGTAGCTACGGGAGCTGTGAGGAGGCCCACATGGATATCATTGGGCAAAAAGTCATTATCTTGACCGGGTTGGTGGGACCCGTCAGATGAACGTGCGATGCACTCTCCCACATGAAGGCTGTCGCAACGTGGACCTAGTGGCTCACTTGCGGGGTTCTTTAGCGGTCATGATAAGGTGGTCAGTCGAAAGTATAATGCTGACTCAAAAAACGCATTCATAATGTGGCTGTCAAGTAATGGCTATGCATGGCGGATGTGCTCTGATGTTGTTTATCTGGATGCAGCTAAGACCTCGTCCACCATTAATCCACACGAGCCTAGATAGTTCTTCGCATCGCACAGCGAGCTGAGCTCTTGGCTGGAAATCTTGTCGGTAATCTCGGACCGCGTCTGCAGAGCTTCTAATAAGCTGGTATCGTTCTCGATACTTTCTTTGCATGCCTCGTAGACAACATCGTGCGCTTTTGATCGACCGACATGCGGAGCAAGGCCCATCATTACAGCTTCAGCGACGATTAGACCCCTAGTGGAATACAGATTTGTGAGCATCTGCTTGGGGTTTACTACAAGGCCAGAAAGCGCAAAGTCAGCCTGGTTCAGCGCTCCAACAGCAATCACAAAGCTTTCTGGAACAGCCACCCATTCCAGATGCCATGGACCAGAAGCACGCTCGAAGTCTGACACCATACCGTCGAGCACCAAGCCGGCATTTGATCGTAGAATCTTCGATGCTGCCAGAATGACTTCGCTTGAAATGGGGTTCCGCTTCTGTGGCATAGTCGAGGAGGCGCCGCGGTGCGGCACAAAAGGCTCTGAGACTTCTGAAAGTTCGTTTGAAGACATGATGATAATGTCCAAAGCAAGCTTGCCTAAGGTACCACCAACAAGTGCAAGGTAGTTTGTAATTTCAGCAACTCCATCTCTGGCGACATGCCATGTGATCGGAGGATCGGTCAAACCTAGATCTTTCGCCATTTCCTTCCGAACACGGATGCCATCGTCGCCTGAGCCTAGTGAAGCCAAAGAGCCTGCAGCTCCTCCAAACTGGACCATCAAGGCACGCGATTTGAGCTGCTCGAGGCGCTCGAGATGTCTTTGAAATCCAGATAGCCATATAGCACACTTGTGTCCGAAAGTAATGGGCAGAGCATGCTGAAGATGGGTGCGACCGGCCATGGGCGTATCTCGATGCTTTCTTGACAAATCTTCCAGGTTCTTGATGACGGAGCGAAGCGTACGCTCAACAATCTCAAGACCTTGTTTCATCTGCAGCATGCTTGCCAGATCCATGATGTCCTGTGTTGTTGCTCCCCAATGCACGTAACGTCCGGCCTCGTCACCACATGACGCGGAGAGCTGTCGCACCAAAGGAAATATAGGATATCCGACGATTTCGGTTTCGTTGCGCAGCCTGTCATAGTCGAGTTCTACTTGGCGGGCTTTGGATGTCACAATCTCTCCGATATGTGAAGGTATCACATTGCATTTTGACTGTGCCCTTGCCAATGCGGTCTCGGCATCAACGCACCGATTGATGTACGCTTTGTCGTCGAACACCTTCCGGATCTCATCGGTTCCAAACAGCGTGCGGAAGATGACTGAGTCGATGGCGCTCACGCTGCCGAGTGATCGTCGTTGAGGATGGAAGGTGGTTTGCTGGGGGATGGCACGCAGTGGGGCGCGTCGAAGCAAGAACATGATGTTGATTGTAATGGCAAAAGCACCTCAATGAATCATGAAGGGGATATGAGGCTCTAAAGAGAGCTTCAACAACGCCCAAGACATGGCTGGTGGCTCCCAGGCGGTGGACGTGTGGGACGCGGATGCAGCAGCATCGTGTGGGGAAGACACTGCCGGGCTAGAATGCGGGCGGCCCCCTGTGTTTACCGCTTCCCAAACTGGCTAGGCGAAATGGACATGTGACGCGCGCGACAGTTTCGTGTTCCGAGCTTCACTCCCATCATCTTTAGATCATCCCCATCAACGTTTCGTCAGATTTCTACAGTGCTATGACTCTCGAACGAACAAAGAAGCAAGACCTAGCCCGGTACTCGCGCACATGCTGACAATGCCGATCTCCTTGTCTTGACGTCGCAGCTCGCCAAACAGTGTAGCAGTTTGCCGAGCACCCGTCGCCCCAGTAGGATGTCCGAGAGCTATCGCACCTCCATTCGGGTTAACCTTGTCTTCATCGAGACCCAGCTCCCGAATGCAAGCGATGGTCTGACTGGCGAACGCCTCGTTCAGCTCGATGACATCGATGTCCTTTAGTTGGATACCTGTCCACTCCAGCAATGCAGGTATCGCGTATATTGGGCTGATGCCCATCTCATCGGGAGCGCAGCCTTTGACTTGTGTACCGACGAAGCGGCCGAGTGGCTCCAGACCACGCTCTTCAGCCCATGAACGCCGAGCGAGTATGGTCGAGGATGCGCCGTCGGATATTTGAGACCTGGTAGGTTAGCCACGTAGTAGCTTTGATCTAGGTCAACTTACGAGTTGCCTGCAGTACTCTTGCCGTTCTCGCCGAATACAGGCTTAAGCGTCGACACTTTTTCAAAAGTTAAGCCATGTCGAATACCATCGTCCTTGGTTACTTCATGCCCTGTAGGCTGACCGCTTGCTTCGTCTGCCCTCTGAACCGTCACTGGCTCTATCTCCCAATCAAAGCGGCCTTCCCTTTGGGCGCGACTTGCGCGACTATGACTTCGTACCGCATACTCGTCTTGTGACTTTCTATCGACCTTGTATCTTTCCGCCACATTCTCCGACGTGATTCCCATCGGCATGAGACAGTCGCGAGCATCTTTGACGGTTGATCCTAGTAGTGTGGGCGAAACATCGGTCGGGAGGCCCCGCGAGGCGTAGTTCCTTGACATGCTCTCTACACCGCCAGCAAGCCCCACGTCAATTTGGCCCACCATTATCGAGTGTGAGATGTGGGTGATGGCCTGCAGACTGCTCGAACATTGACGATTGACTGTGTGAAAAGTCGTCGAGTTTGGAAATCCAGCATGATTGAGTGCCATACGCCCGGTCTTTGCGAAACCAAGTTCAGCGAGTACATTCCCAATCATGACATCGTTCACATCATTTTTTTCAATGCCAGCTCGTTGTACGGCAGCTCTCATAATCTGACATGTTTAGCAACAGCGTAGTGCATTCTTATGCCGACACTCACCGGCATCAATATGTCTTCTGGGTGAGCATCTTTGTAACCGCCCTTGAAACTACGATTGATTGGCGACCTGACCGCAGAAAGTAACACAACATCGTTTGGGCTTTTGTGCAACACGTTTCGCGCAGCTTTGCTAAAGGATGCCATTTTGACGTATACACTGAAAAGATACGCGTTGCATTACTACAAGAGTAGTTACCTATTGTACTATATCAAATGCCCGAGAAAGTGCCGCATTGTGGTTGTGGTAAGGGCTGTGGCGGGGCGACGTGTATGTGTGGGGCAGGATCGGGATGACCCCTCTATGACAACTCGGGCAACACCGCAATGATGCTTGCCGGATTTAGCTTGCATGCAGACGCGACTGTTCACTTTGAACATTTTTACACGCAAACTGAATTCAACCAGATACTGCACAATGGCGCTTCCGACCAAATACCAAAATGGCAGCATTGACTCCTCTGCCAAGGGGGTGTACAGAGCGTCGCCCGTCAAGCTCATGATCTACGGAAATGGTAAGCAGCCTATGGTTACGACTTGACAATAGCTTACTAGTTCGCACAGGAACCAGCAACCAGCTTTCGGATGTCATTGCCGAACTCGGTGCTACTAAAGCCTTCATCATCACCGGGCGATCGTTGTACGAGAAGACGCCTGTGATCAAGAACATTGAGAAAGCACTTGGTTCTGCACATGGTGGTACATTCAGCAAGATTGGACAGCATGCGTATGCAAGATGCAGTTTGATTTCAGCGGTGGAGACTGACATGTCATAGGCCAATCGGGGATATCAAAGAAGCCACAGCCTTGATGGCGAAGTCAGGATGCGATGTTCTCATCTCAATAGGTGGCGGATCGCCTATCGATTCGGCTAAAGCGATCGCGTACAATATCCATGAGGAGACCGGAAAGTGGATACCAAGTATCGCCGTACCAACAACGCTCAGTGTAGCAGAGACGACACAGAATGCTGGCTTCACCACCGAGGAAAAGCACAAGATCGCTGTGAGCGATCCTGAACTTGTACCCAAGGCTGTTGTATACGATGGCGAACTTGCCATATACACACCTTTGAACCTATGGACAAGCACAGGAATTCGATCATTGGACCACGCAGTTGAGCTGATGTACCACCCTCTCGCTGCTGAGATTCCCACGAAACGCATGTCTCTGGAGGCTATCAAAGATCTGTTCACGTACTTGCCGCAGTCGAAAGCCGACCCCGACAACGCGGAAGTGCGAACAAAGCTCTTCGTTGCGTGTTATTCCTCACTTTTCCCTTTTCTATACACCGGTGGAGTCGGTCTCAGCCACAGCATAGGTCATGCGATAGGTGCTACCTATAGCATTCCGCATGGTATTACCAGCTGTCTCAGTCTAGCGCCGACAGTACACTTCAAGGCTAGCAACCCAGAGGAGGCAAAGCAGATCGCGAGGATCATTCCTTACATTGGGAAGCAAAGTACAGGCAGCGATGAGAAGGACTCGCATCTCGTTGCCGACGCTATCGCCAGACTTGTTGAAGAGCTAGGGCACAAGACCACTTTGACAGCTGTAAGTATCTGAGGCATGTCAGGACGACTTGTGCTAATCATCAATCAATAGTACAATGTGCCGACCGGCGATGCAGAAGAGGAAGCCATCGCGTCACGTGCGCTACACAGTAAAGACCACAAGGATTTTGCGAATTGTGAGTTATCATGTATGCATTAGGGACTCCCATCGACTGACATGCTACACAGTGAAGCGAATCGTCCACGACTTGTACTAAGGCGTTCCCTAAGCACAAGCGATAGGTAGCTTCTATAGCAAAGTACTCTAACCAATTTTTTCAAAATGTAAAACCACGTCCAATGCGCAATACTGCCAGAGTGTCTATCGGCGGCAAGTTTTTTGAGACGCGATAGCGCGAGAACACGTGAGCCAGTCCAGGTCGTTTTGCTGTTGGAAATGTTTTCCATCTCCGAGCCCAAGTGCCTTTTTCCGCCTCTCTGACGATCCAATGAACGTGCGTTTTGGCCGCAACCTCCGCATCTTGGCCGGCTAAGTCCTTATCCACCTCCGATTGTGGAGCTTTGCTCTTACCCGCCATCGGCACGGCATTTGGGTCGGTCTGACCCAATCGGCTAGTTACTATGATGCATGCCCATGGTGCTCGTGTGGGGAGCGTCAACTCTACTGTACACCACATTTCTCACACGCTGTCCTTGTGCATTGAGTTTTGCGGAGAAGCGGAGGACTGAGCCAAGTATCGTTGTCGATTGAGCTCTGATTACACTCCTGAAAATAGCCCACACCTGCAGTAACCTTGTGCGCCATCTCAAACTGTCTAGAACGGTTTGAAGCTTGTTGGTTCGACTTCTTTTCCTCGTTACCTTGCGATTCACGAGCACGACTCTCACGATGCAACGTTCTCTTCTATTTTCCGCACGCCGCCGCGGCCCAGCGACGGGCTTGCGGTTCTTCTCTGCGAGCGCGTCTCGGCCAGCAATCAACAAGATCGTCTCCTCCGCACAAGAAGCCATCAAGGACATGAAGTCCGATACGACAGTCTTGGTTGGTGGATTTGGCTTTTCAGGAGTACCAAACACACTCATCAATGCTCTACGCGACCGAAGTGACCTCAAAAACTTCACCGTTGTCAGCAATAACGCCGGTATGCCGGGCGTTGGGCTTGGACAACTCTTAGAGACAAAGCAGATTGGCACGATGATTGCGAGTTACATCGGAGATAACAAGGTGTTCGAGCAGATGTACTTGAAGGGTCAGCTGAGTCTGCAATTGACTCCCCAAGGCACGATTGCTGAGAAGTGCGCTGCTGGTGCTGCTGGTGTGCCAGCTTTCTACACACCAGCAGCATACGGAACAATTGGTATGGGAATAGAACAGTTGCACGTATACGACACGGCTAACAATATGCAGTACAAACTGGTGAACTTCCTGTGCGCTACAACACCGACGGTACCATCGCGAAAATGGCTCCTCCAAAAGAAACACGCGAATTCAACGGCAAATCCTACGTGATGGAAGAAGCCATCTTTGGTGATTACGCCTTCGTCAAAGTCGCAAAAGCCGATCGGCTCGGTAACTGCCAGTTCCGAAAAGCACAGAACAACTTCAATGAAGCAATGGGCAAGAACGCGAAAATGACGATTGTCGAGGCAGATGAGATTGTTGAGGACGGCGAGATTGCACCAGAAGATATTCATCTCCAGGGAATATACGTGAAGAGAGTGATTAAGAGCACAGTTGGCAAGGAGATCGAGAGGAAGGTGTTCTGGAAGAGTCCAGAGGAGCAGAAGAAGGCGCTCTTGGAAGGTGGTAAGTTGTGTTCATGCTATACCACGAAAGGCATATCACTAACCAGATTTTTCAGGTTCAACCGAAGCATCACAGAAGCGCGAGCGCATCATCAAGCGCGCAGCTCAAGAATTGAAGGATGGCATGTATGTCAACCTTGGTATCGGCATGCCTTTAGCAGCGCCTGCATTCTTGCCCGAGGGCACCGAGATCGTGCTCGAATCAGAGAATGGAATCTTGGGTATGGGCCGGTATCCCAAGCCGGGTGAAGAGGTGAGTCTGCGATAACAGTGAAGAGTTTTTAATATCATTGACAAAATCAGGACCCTGACCTCATCAATGCCGGAAAGGAGACTGTTACCCTGATCAAGGGCGCATCAACTTTCGGCAGCCACGAGTCTTTCGGTATGATCCGATCAGGACGCATAGATGTCGCCATGTTGGGTGCTATGCAAGTAAACCAATACGGAGGTTTGTTTTACACTTCAGTCTTGTTTGCCTTTCCGTTTACTAAACGCCTCTCCAGATCTTGCAAACTTCATGCTTCCCGGAAAGGTCAAAGGCATCGGCGGGGCCATGGATTTGGTCGCAAACCCTACACAAACCAAAGTCGTCATCACCATGGAACATGTCGACAAGAAGGGCAACCCTAAGATTCTAAACCAATGCACATTCCCCCTCACCGGACAGAAGTGCGTCAGTACCATCATCACAGACCTGGCCGTATTTGACTGCGATCGCATTGAAGGACTAACCCTGAAGGAGCATGCAAAGGGTGTTACTGTCGATGAGATCAGAAGTAAGACGGAAGCGCCGTTCAAGGTTAGCGAGAACTTGAAGGAGATGAGTGTGTAGGGGAGACTAGGAAAAGACACCAATAATGGACCATTTTAATTTCACTTCAGAATTGTCTAAATTTCGAGGCTCTCGAGACCACCTCACCTACTGCCGCCCTCCACAGCATCCAGTCCTACGTAAGCCGGCGCAGGCACATCCTCACTTATATCCCCCGAAGCACTCCAATGTTTCCAAACCAACTTCCTTTGCTCAATCTCATCTGCGATCGCAATGGCCATGTCAGCAACACTTATCCCGGTCAATCTTCCCTCGAACACGTCTTTGCCTTCCTGCTGCGCGCCCACCAATACCATATCATCAACACTAATCTCATACTTTCCAGTTCTCTTTCCCGGACGATACAAAGCAGATGGCGAAACAAAACTCCAATTAAACGTCTTGCGGTCTTCAAAGAACATGTACGCCGTCCGTCCCGCTTTGATGAAATCCGATGCGTTGTCTTTCACGCGAATCTGCTTCTCGTAGTCTGCGATCACAGTTTTGTCTTCTTCCGTGGCTCTTGCAGAGCTCTCTGCTAATCTGGCTTCGCGGTACCGTCGCAGAGAGGTACCCATGATACCCAGACGTTCCTCCATATATGCTATGTGTGCGAGAGAAGTTGAAATCGCCCGGCGGTAGGCGAGAAAAAAGTCAGGATGGTCGACGCACGGAAGACTAGTGCCAGGAACGTGAAGAGAGCCTGCGCCACCGACAAAGAGAAAGTAAGACGATGGGCATATCTTGTGCGCTAGGAGAATCTTCCGAACGGATTCCAAGAACGGCACTGTCGTGCGTCAGTCACTTTCTGTACGTGTCCGTGGTCAATTGAAGGCGTACTGTACAACAACGCCCCTGCACCAGCTGTGTGTGGTCCAAATTCGCTGACCAGTACATCGATGCCCTCAAATTGCTTTGCCAGCTCTTCTGTAGACACCTGATCGATGTCTACGGGACGTGGAACGTAGCGCGGATGCTTTCCCAATTTCTCCGGGTTACGCGATATACCAAAGACGGTATGACCTCGGTTTAATAGCTCGACACAGAGGTAAGATCCGCCGAAGCCTGCAGGGCCGATTACACCCACGCGTAACGACGAGGATGACATGATCCGATCGAACATCAATGTTGTGATAGCTCTTCGATTTGTAAACCTTAGGGTGAAGTACCTATGGGAATCTGCACATGAGTATCACCCCATATCTTTGTCCGCTTACAGGGCCCTGATGACAGTGAGGCCGGAGTGGTAGCGCCGAGGATATTGAGTTGGGGTAAGGAAGCTGGGGAAGTGAGGGGAGAATGTGGGGCATTGGTAAACGCACATGCAGGGACAAATGACGCTAACTGCTTGAACGACACGCTTAAGGGTATGGTGAGCATTTCGAAGTCACCTACTTGACCAAAGAGACTATCTCTCGATTAAACTTCCTGTCTTCGAAAAAACAGAATCATCTGGCAGCATGGCATTGGCAGACAATTATGCGTTCATCGGTCAGTGAGAGACCACAGGTCATATTTGGTATCGACCCACTAATAATGATCAGGTCTCGGGGCGATGGGCTATGCAATGGCTGCTAATATCAGAAAGAAGATAGACCAGTCTTCGACCCTCTATATTAATGATATCAACGCGTCTGCTTGTTCTCGCTTCAATGATGAATACTCGTCGTACGGCCCAATACAGATCGTCGCTACAGCACGCGAAGCGGCGGAAAACGCAAAAGTACTTATATCAATCGTACCAGGAGCAACTGATGTGAAGAAAGTGTATCTAGACGAAAATGACGGGGTCATTGCAGCAAAGAAAGACGAAGAAAGGATCATGTTAGAATGCAGCACGATTGATGTGAACACAACAAAAGAAGTTGGTCAAAAGTTAAGAGAAACGAGGACAGGAATATACATTGACGCGCCCGTCTCCGGAGGAGTGCCAGCTGCGGAAGCAGGTACTCTAGCGATGTTGATTGGCCATCCAGAACCAGCACAAACACCGACCTCTTTGTCCTCTTCAGATACTCGACTACAAATGACGCTGTCCATGCTTGGTCCAAAATCCAAAGCTTTCTACCTAGATACCCTCGGCGCAGGTCTGACTGCAAAGATATGCAACAACTATCTCTCTGGCACTGTTCTTCTCGCGACCGCCGAAGCCCTCGCAATAGGGGTATCCCATGGTCTTGACCCCACTGCCCTATACTCTGTGATCAAGAACAGTACTGGCCAGTCTTGGATGTGCGACCATGTCATGCCCATACCCGATGTGCAAACCGAATACTGGGTGCCTAGCAACAGTGGATATAGGCCAGGATTCAAGACGCAGATGATGCTCAAGGATCTGGGACTGGGCATTGAGAGCGCGAATCAGGTGGGCATTAGACCTAGTATGGCAGAGAGAGCGTTGGAGGTTTGGGAAGGTGCGGCGAAGGATGAGAGGTGTGTAGATAGAGATGGCAGTAGCATTTACTTGCATGTTGGGGGTGTATTGCCGAAAGGGTATGAAGACAAAGCGAAGAAGCAGGAAAATGGATCCTGGGAGTTTGCTGATTGAAGCATTGTGTTATCGAATTGAATATGATCTTGTCGCGATGAGTATGCTGAGACGTCCATATGTATTTCATATTACCTATCTTCCTTGGAAAAAGTTCTGAAAAACATCCTGGATAGTATCAAATCCTGCCATCTCTCCCAATTTCAGAATCCTGTCGTCTCTTCCAATCTTCGCTGGATCACCATCCGGTACCCACCTACTTGTAACACCATCAGCACTCGGTCCGTACACTTTAGCACTCAGCTTTTCAGTCTGCACAGGTGGCCAAGGATCCTCTCCATTAACGAATTTGATGAAGTCTTCTCCATATTCCCGTGCCACTTTCTGTTGCGCATCGTCCAGGTGGTCGTTATAGTTCTGGAAGAGGTATGAGACATCGAGAATATGGCCTGCTTCACCCTGGAAACGACCCTCCCAAGGTATACCTTCATTGAAGTGGTAGAGGAAGAACTTTGAGTCGGCGGTATTAGGCCAGCCTTTAGCGAAGGCACGAGAAGGAGCGTAGAAGGAGATTTCGGAGGCGAAACGCAGAATCGAAAGAATGCCTTCGTCGTCTGGGGTCTCTGGAGTAATACTATAGGCTTTGAGAAGTTGTTCCGCTACATCCGGATGAGTAGATAGTGTAGCCTTGCAGGAGTCGATGAACTTTTGTGCGATGCCCGGGTTGCGGCCATCGAGACTTAGATATGCGAGGATGTTGGCCTACATATGATCAGCTCATCTATCGAAAGTGCCAAATGGTCGTACTTACATCTAATTTTGACTCTCCTATCATGAAAGCCTTGCACCACCTCCTGCCTGGCATCATGAAGGCTGGACTATCCTCCTGAGATGAAACCGTAAGGAAATCGGGTGACCCAGGCATAGTAACGCCATCGATCGAAGGTAGCATTGGCGCTGTAGGGGGAACCTTTTGCCAAAGGTCGTCCACAGGCATACTCAAAAGGGCCTTGATACGATCCTCTGGTGACTTGTCTTTCAGACCAAATGCGTCTATGGCTTGTTGGTACGATGACTCTGCCACAAATTCCGGAATAGGCTTGAAAAGTAGTACGGCCCCTCCAGTGCTCAAACAGCGCTTCATCAGCGGCTCCTTAGAGCAAAGTAAGACTGTCGCAGATACTGCACATGTCAGTCAAGCTTCTACATCGATATCTTCGCCCACATACGTCCGCCAGCGCTCTCTCCGCATGCGGTAATCTCATCCGGATCACCTCCAAAACCGCCTATGAACTTTCTGATCCACTGAAAAGCTGTACGCTGGTCGTAAAAGCCGTTGTTTGCTTTGTAACCTGCTTTACGCAGTTCTTCGGAAGTTGCAAAGCCTGTGAAACCCAGTCGGTAGCTGTATATATCAACACCTGTATGAACCTTTTGTAAAGCACCAGTACACTCACTTTATGGTGATACCGATGACGGGTTTCTTCTTCTCGACAGACATCCTAACTACAGGAGCCGGGTCATAGTGCGGGTACCAACTACTTCCGACAGCGAATCCGCCTCCATGAATGAAGACAAAGACAGGAAGCTTCGCATTTGGGTCAATAGCGCCATCCTTGTTCGTTGGCACAGTGATGTTGAGATTCAAGCCTTCGAGATCGGAATGCGCAGGAACTTCTGGGAGTGGCAATGATTTCTGGATAAAACTGAATTCACGTTCAATAGCACCAATCGGAGACACCGGAGGAGGTCTACTTCAATCAGCACTATTATTCAAATTTCCATGGCCGACGTACCCAAACTTCGAAGCGTCTGTAGCGCCAGCTCCATAGTTTTCAACAAGCTCAGGTGCGGCCAAGCGATCCTTTATCGAAGCATACTTCAGACCAAGGAACTGTGCTACCCCATCCACACTCTTGCCCTTCAATTCACCCAGGTGTTCGTGTTTAAGAGTTGCCGACATGCTAGCCGTTGCGTGAGAAGAGATGGTGCGAAACAGAGAATTGGCGGTTATCCAAGGATCAACAAAGTGTTTAGTATATTCTAGCGTGTTTTTGGATCGGCGGCGTAAGGAAACGTATCCTTGGAGCTGTCCGTATGCAAATAGTTCCGTGGGGTAACGACGACCCGACAAATTACCCCGCACCTGTTTCTGCCACTCAAGCAGTGGGGCAATTACCAGCAACCAAAGGCTTACGCGATGTGGGGGTAATTCAACAGTTATGTCTCGCATCTAGAAGAATATCGTGATTTGTGACATCGTAGTCTAGGCTTTGAGCTGGGCAGTCAGCCAGCACGCATACGGCTAGAAAAGGAATTATCGACGTCCGTGCTATATGCAACCAGCTGTTTGCACCATTCATCCCAGCTATGAAGGCTAACCTACCTCATACCGATGCCTGCGTTGAACTTGCTCTCCTCGATGGCGGCAGCTTTTTAGGAGATTTGAGCCGTATGCATGCTGGCGAAAACGGTACGTTTCGCATGTATAATTGGGCATTCTATGTCTCGCACCAGGGAAGACATATACTTTGGGATCTTGGGTTGGACGAGGTACGTGGACTGGAGGCGAAGAGAAACACCGAAGTCTTCTTGTGACTGATTTGTTTTTGAAGGACCGAAGTTGTTATACTCCATGGGTTAACAAATTCATGCTAGAGCATGTCAATCACGTTGGACCTAGGAGGACCATCGTCCAGCAATTATCAGAAAGAGGCGTGTCTGCAGAAGATATCGATACCGTATTGTTCAGGTATGAGCTCAAGGTTGAATGTGGCTCATGTTCGCTAAACAGAAGGCAGTCACGCTCATTGGGACCACTCGCGACCCATCAGCGATGTATTTCCGAATGCAAAAGCGTACTTCGGTCCGGGAACAAGGGCAGCATGCCAGCCAGGGCATATGAAGGATCCGAGCCTGCAGTGGGATGGCCGCTTCTTCGACCCGGAGCATTCGACCGAAACATGGGACGAGCTACAGGGTGAATGGAGACCTTTTGGCCCGTTTGAGAGAGCGCTGGACTACTTTGGTGACGGCAGTTTCTGGGTCCTCGACGCGCCTGGTCATATGCCAGGCAACATGGCTGCTGCAGCAAGACTGCAAGGCGGCGAGTGGGTGATGCTTGGTAGCGATTGTACGTTGTGTCGCATTGTTTTCATTGGCCTTCGCTAATCCTGCAAACTAGGCTGTCATTCGCGGTACGTTGTCCATATGCTGGGCGTATGCTGACCGTCATGGTTGTTACGATCGGGCGCTTGCTGACTGGTTAGGGATCTGTTGGACGGCCTACGAGAAATTGCGGAATTTCAGGGACCAGGGGCAGTGAGCATGTCTCTTCATACAGATCTCACTTCTGCGAGAGACACCATTGCCAAGATACGACAGCTGGAAACCAATTTTGGTGTTCACACCGCGCTCGCGCACGACGCGTCGTGGTTGAAGCAGGGCACAGATCAAGTGCTCATGTCGCTGCTGGACAGCAAGATGCGCGTCGCAGCCAAGGAGAAGATACCGTTTGATGAGATACCATAGACCGAACATGAGATATGAGTCCGGTTTAGTGTCCGAAGGTTGGATGCCTGATATTCAAGTAGCGCCGCGACGCGCCGGTTACGCGTTTTTCGTGACGTGATTGCTCATGGGTAGGTATGCGTACAACGGGATGCCTCGACACGACTCCTTCAGGCATGAACATAGCAACAATTCAGCTGTGAGCAAATATGAAAAAGAAGTAGAGGCAGACCTCAATATTGTTGTGCGACGCTTGGAGACGCGGTTGTGGTAGTCGGTTGCCTCAACTACTACGACCACGCTAGAGACGCGACCAAGGAAGAACACCGTCATGATATTCTACGTCACAATATGCTACGCTTAGCGTTCGCATGCTCGGATTCGACATTGAGATACCAAAGTGTTAAAGATACGTGTACTAGTGATAAATCATGATTGTCAAAGAGATGAACGACTTGTAGGATAGGTTTCGCTTGCACTACTAGTGCGTGAGGCATGGCCGAAGAAACACCCGCACGCTGTGAGGGCAGCAGTCATGACGGAACTCAATAACGCTGGTTTCTTCTGATCAAGGTACGATACCCCCACCGACAGGACCATCCGTTTTCAGTGTTTCACATGATAGCCGAGCTGATGCATCTATGGCCGCATCAGGCGATGAGGCGCTTCCACATTGACAGTAGGCGTCCAACTATGCGCTAGTTGCTTAGTGCTGATCACTTGCATCCATGGCACCAAGATCAGGGCCCAGGCCTACTGAATCGCAAGACCTCAATAACATTGGAGCCCCCAAGCTCAGTGAGCCTCAACCTCTAGGCTTTCATCATGGCTCTCCGCGATTTACCATGGGTGACAATACTCTTTTCCGGTGTCGTCGCGGCGCTCGCGTACGGGATGATGAGGCTGATTCAAGTGCGACGCTTCTACAAGGACCTTGTACGTGGACAGTATTCATCGCGGACTGCCATCGAGGCAACACTGACGATCCATGTAGCCCAAGCCGCCTCACAGTTTTTTCTTTGGTCATCTCAAACTGCTAGGCGAGACTTTCAAGTCACTGCCAAGCGACGTGCATTACCAGGCAGCGGCTGTTACAATTGCCAGGAAGTACAACATGCCTGGTCTCTTCTATCTTGATCTGTGGCCCATCGCATGGGGACAGATTGTTGTTACAAACCCAGATGTCGCACTTGAGATGACAGCCGTTCGAAACCACCCCAAACACGAAGCAGAGGGCCAAATGATTGATCCATTGATCGGTCGTGGGAACATTGTCACGGCGAATGGGCCGCAGTGGAAGCATCTCCACAGGATGCTGAGTCCCGCTTTCGCTATCTCGCACATTACCAACATGAGACCAATGGTTGCTGACGAGGTAATGAAATTTCGGTCGATCATCCACGAGAAGGCCAGATCTGGAGAGGTTTTCAAATTGGAAGACCCTACTCAGCACTTGACGTTCGATGTGATCTCGACTGCGACCTTTGGGCGATCTCTCGACGCACAAACCAAGGGCAGCCCTGCTCTGCAGCACTTTGAGAATATGTGTCGTGCTTACATGGCATCGCGAGAATCTGTCAATTACATCCGGAACTTCATTGTCAACAGAAAAGTTTTTGCCGAGCGAGACAAGTTAGATGCCATCGTAGTAGATCTCATCAAAGAGAGATTTGAGATTGTAAAACGTAAGTAATAGATGCATTGGAGCATTACTGTACATTATTGACGTGTAGCTCGCAGGCGATAAGCTCAATCTCTCCGAAAAGCGAGGATTAGGAATCATGGATCTCATCTTGCGAGATTATATTGCAGAGCGAGGAAACGACGTGAAGGAGCTCGACCACCAATTCGTCCAAGATGCTCTATCGCAAGTTAAAACACTATTGATCGCTGGAAGCGGAACTACGTCTGACACCGTCTGCTTCGGAGCTATGATGCTCAGCGTCCATCCTGAAGTAGTTCAAAAGATGCGAGAAGAGCACGACCGCGTCTTCACCCCTGGCATTGAGGCGACTTACGAGATGCTGAAAACGGATCCTTATAGAGTGAACGAGCTTACATATACAAACCATGTTGTCAAGGAGATCCTGCGATTCTTCCCGATAGGCAACACTGCGCGTAAGGGCATTGATACTCTTAAGTACCAGGGCCGAGAGTGGCCGGCCAAGGATATCATGATTTGCCCAGTCCAACTGGCTATGCACATGGATCCTGCGATATTCCCAGGTAAGTAGCACCTGTCAAGCTTCGTATCTGGTGCGCATTCAGTTACTGAAACATGTCCCTAGACCCGCTCAAATTTGACCCCGATCGATATGCACGAGAAGATTTCCCGCGTCACGCATGGCGTCCATTTGAAAGAGGTCCACGTGCCTGCCTTGGTCAACCCCTGGCTATGGACGAGTTGTTGATCACGTTCTTGTTGACGATACGAGATTTCGACTTTACATGCGCAGATTTGAAACCCAACAAGACGCCTCGAGTGGACTGGTTCGACCTGGATTTAACGTTTGGTGACCGCGCCTTTCAAGAGTTCGTGTTTGAAGCGAAACCACGCGATGGCATGCCCATGACTGTCAAAAGATCCAACTGGCCTTCGTAATCGTATCAAATACTGCCGATCCTGGATGCAGACAGTCATTCTAGACGGACATCCCGGTGATTCACATTCCCCAAGGTTTCGAGATTCAATATACAGCCGTAGGTTTGAATGACAGGATCCATCAAGTCTGAGCACAAAGACGGCTACAAGACTCTGGGCGAAGAAACGAGCTCACTTGCAAGTTGAGGAACGGACCGTCTCGGACCGAATATCGGTTCAAAACTGGGGGATGTACAGATGACTCGCAAGAGTTCAACGGTGCAGTAAAAATGAGGTACGTCCAGGAGTTGGCAATGTATCCTGGCGTCTAGTTATACGGTCAATGCCATATCGCAGGTTTTAGTTGTGAGCCACTGAGCGATCATGACGAAACATGCGGAAGCTACTATTGTTGGGACATAAGCAAATATGATCCATGCTTTCATCCCGTTATTCAGTCCCCCCGCACCCCGCATCAGCGCATCCCTTGCAATTCTTCGGCCGGTGCTTATGCGAGCTTGTCATGTTCTCTCAATATTGACCGAAGTCGTCCAGGTCTTGTTGCCGTGCCTTGCCTACCGCTGACAGTCGTGGATTTCCATTCAGCCTGAATGCACAGCCAATCGGAGAGCAATTAGCTCCACTTAGCGCAAACCCCTCACAGACTTTGCAAGTACCATGGGGCTCCGCATGCGGCTCGGGTATACTCTTGGCTGCCGTATGCCTCTGGGCCAAGCATCGGGAGTGGCTTCGGACACAAGAGTGGCTCGGTGGTCGGAAATAAGTGGACTGGCGACCGGTACTCAACCGCGTGGCCATCATAACCATGACGTATAGACATCGTGGGCTTATGTCTTTACCAACCGTGTGCTGACGCAGGGTCACCGACTACGGCTATTTAGTTTGCTATAAGATATGGGGTGAAGAGATGTGAAAGAGAAGTATCCGGACCATCCGAACCAGACAACCGGCATCATGCTCACCTCGACGCGTTCACTGCAAGTGTTGCTCGTCGCTGCGACAGGAGCTTATGCTCAATTCGTTTTCCCTGATTGTACCAGTGGAAGGTTGAGCAATGAGACCATTTGCGATGCTTCAGCATGTACGTTGATCCATATGCTGCTACATCGACCTTGTAATACTAACTTTTTTTCAGCACCGCTGGCTCGCGCGAAGTCTCTTGTAGCTCTTTACACACTTGAGGAGAAGATCAATGCTACGAGTAGTGGCTCTCCAGGTGTCCCTCGCCTCGGTATACCGCCTTACCAGTGGTGGAGCGAGGGTCTTCATGGTATTGCCGGTCCCTATACCAACTTCAGCGATGAGGGAGAGTATAGCTACTCGACTTCTTTTCCTCAGCCCATCTTGATGGGTGCGGCCTTCGACGATGATCTCATCACCGAGGTTGCAAAGGTCATCTCAACCGAAGCGCGTGCGTTCAACAACGCCAACAGGACTGGTCTTGACTTCTGGACGCCCAACATCAACCCTTTCCGTGATCCCCGCTGGGGTCGTGGTCAAGAAACACCTGGTGAAGACCCCTACCATTTGTCTTCTTACGTCCAGGCGTTAGTCCACGGACTTCAGGGCGATGCGTCTGATCCATACAAACGTGTCGTCGCAACTTGCAAGCACTTCGCTGGCTATGATATCGAGGACTGGAACGGAAACCTCCGCTACCAGAACGATGTGCAGATTTCTCAACAGGACCTCGTTGAGTACTACCTCGTTCCCTTCCAGGCCTGCGTTCAAGCGAATGTGGGTGCTTTCATGTGCAGCTACAGTAAGTCTGACGTCAAACGTTCGTTGTATGTATGCTTGGAACTAACGGACTTAGATGCGGTCAATGGTGTGCCAACATGCGCCGATCCCTACTTGCTTCAGACGATTCTTCGTGAACACTGGGGTTGGACTAATGAAGAGCAATGGGTTACTTCCGATTGTGACGCCGTTCAGAACGTTTACTTGCCTCATGAATGGTCTGCAACTCGTGGAGGTGCTGCTTCCGACGCCTTGAAAGCCGGTACCGATCTCACTTGCGGTACTTATATGCAGGAACATCTGCCCGCTGCCTTCCAGCAAGGTCTGCTTGAAGAATCTGTCCTCGACCAGGCCCTCGTCCGCCAGTACTCATCGCTTGTCCGACTTGGCTACTTTGACTCTCCCGATAACCAGCCTTACCGCCAAATTGGATGGAACTCAGTCGCCACGAATGCTTCTCAGGCGCTTGCCCGCAAAGCCGCTGCTGAGGGTATCGTTTTGTTGAAGAATGATGGTACGCTGCCTCTTTCTCTCGATTCATCCACATCGATTGGTCTTTTCGGTGACTGGGCGAATGCAACCTCTCAGCTCCTTGGTAACTACGCTGGTGTCGCTACGTACCTGCACTCTCCGTTGTACGCCCTGGAGCAGCTCAATGTCACCATCAACTATGCTGGAGGAAATCCTGGTGGCCAAGGTGACCCAACGACTAACCGTTGGTCTAATCTTTACGGCGCCTACTCTACTAGTGACATTCTCATGTATGTTGGAGGTATCGACAACAGCGTTGAGGAGGAAGACCAGGATCGTACATACCTCACATGGACTGGAGCCCAGCTTGATGTCATCACTGAGCTTGCTGAAACAGGAAAGCCAGTCATCGTTGTGGTCACTGGAGGAGGCCAGATCGATAGCACTCCTCTCGTGAACAACCCCAACATCTCCGCCATCCTTTGGGCTGGGTACCCCGGTCAGGATGGAGGCTCGGCCATCATCGACATTGTCGCCGGAAAGACTGCTCCTGCTGGACGTCTACCTACGACTCAGTATCCCTCCAACTACATCGCGAAGGTCTCTATGATGGATATGAACATGCGCCCTGGTGAAAACAACCCTGGCCGTACCTACAAGTGGTACAATGGAAGTGCTGTCTACGAGTTCGGTCACGGTCTGCACTACACCAACTTTTCTGCCAACATCACCACCCAGATGCAGAACAGCTACGCAATCTCTGTGCTTACACAGAACTGCAATAGTACTGGAGGTTTCCTCGACCGCTGCCCATTCGCTGCTGTAGATGTTGAAGTATCCAATGACGGCGACGTCACATCCGACTACGTCGCTCTTGGCTATATTGCCGGAGAATTTGGTCCTGCGCCTCATCCAAAGAAGTCGCTTGTCTCTTACAAGCGTCTCCACAGCATCGCTGGTGGATCTTCCGACACTGCAACTCTCAATCTAACTCTTGCATCTCTTGCCAGGGTCGACGAGATGGGTAACAAGGTCCTTTACCCTGGTGACTACACCTTGTTAATCGACAACCACCCACTTGCAAGTTTCAACTTCACTTTGACCGGCGAGCAAGCTATGCTGGACATGTGGCCTCAGCCGCCTGCTAACCGCACTGCTGAGGGAGTAAAGGGTGTTGGTGATTACTGGTACGGAGGATATGGAAGCGAGTATGCAGAGGAGCCTGCAGATCTACAGAACACTATGTAGATGAGCTACCGTTTATAATGTAATGGAACTTGTGGAGGGAAGTTATTCAATGACTCCTTCTACATGCATTCGCATTCCCGTGTGTCTATATTTCCTCTCACCTTCACGTTCACATCAAACTTGCGCTCGGACCATCGGTTTCGTTTGCTCCAACTGTCAGCGCACTGCGCCCTTCACATACACCCCTCCTTCAAAAAATCTGAAGACCAATTCAACTTTGCTCTGCGACAGCGAAGAAAACATGACATTGTGCGACGAGTGCGACAACGAAGGCGCTCTGCGTTGCAGTAGTTGCAGCGCGAGTTGCTATTGCTCCAAAGAGTGTCAAAAGAAGGCATGGCCACTCCACAAAATTCTCTGCAAAACATTCAAAGACTTTCAAGACCGCCCCAAAGCCGTACACTCTGGTGAGAAGTACACTCAAGCTATCTATTCCCACCCCGACGAAGACACCCCACGTTTCATATGGCTCAAGACTAAGGACGAGATGGGAGAGTACGAATGTACATGTCTTAGCGTTTGTCCAGGTCCACTTGCAGCTATAAACAAAATGGAGTCCGAGTCCAAGTCCGAGTCCGAGTCCGGAGAGTTCATTAATATGACAAATACGAAGATCCGACACAACTACGCTCTCGTCCGCCTACTTCCATACACCCTATTCTTGTCTCACCGCTAAGGCTTTCTCCATGACGGCTCCACGCACAACAAAGCCAGTGATAAGATCGTTGATCTCATCCCTGTTCACCTGCACGATTGGAGAGGTCCTATGATCGCCTATGGCACGGATGTCTTCGATGACGTCCCCCACAGCTACGACCCATCCTACAGTCAAGATCTCGGCCCCTGCGACCTTCGGATCCTCGCACACTGGCTCAACACTTACTATCTCAAGAACGGGAATCTCCGAACGATCGAGGACCTACAGCCGGAACTGAGTAAAGTAGTTGGCGTGCGCATCCACTGCAATGGCGACGTCGATACCGACGGTCGTCCTCGTTTCGAGCCCATAGAGCTTCCTGCCTTCCATTGCATCTTCGAACAAACAGCTACCGACGTTTCCAAGCACATCGCAATCCCTCTGGTTGTTCAGCGCATCCCCGGAAGTGTGAAGAAATGGCAGAAGCATTCAGAATCGTCCTCGAGCAAGTTCTCTTGGGTTAACACAGCGGGCACTTTCTTGCATATCGGCTACAAGCCCCAGAGCAAGCAATCCGGTTTCGACTGGGGGTTTGCATCACCGGAATGGCCGGATTCTGTTGGCGCTGTCGTCGTCATGCGCAAAGACAAGAAGAAGCTACTCCCTGAACATGTTCACGCGCTTGTCGAATACCACCCGGATCATCTCATGCGTTTCTTCGAGGAAGAGGTCCAGGGTATACACTCCGATGGACAGCTATCTCTAAAGCGAGACAAGGAGTAGGTTATGAAGCAGATCAATAAAGAGAAACTCCAGGGGTACTATGTGGCTTGGAAGTTGAGGCAGTCAGAAAATACAAAGGTGCAGCAGATCTCGCCTTACGACATCTAGACTACCGCCAGCGCGGTACACTAGTACCAAGATTTCAAGAAGATGCGCGTTCAGAATTCGTGAATGTCGATGATATAAAGAAGGAGGGTTTTCACCTAATAGTCATTAGTATTTTTCAAGTGGCACAACACCACGATCTCCCATGCAACGTTCTCGTTCCAAATTCCTCGTGACGTTCTCGACTCTTTCGCTACAGGATGCTAGAGTTTTCTATGACACGGTTTATAGTTTGCTAGCATATCCGCCTGCCTCTTTAGTGAAGAGCACTTTCATCGGCTCCGCGAGCAGATCCTCCGTCTTCATCGTCTTTCCCAATTTCTTGAAGTCCTCGCTCTTTCCATGTGTTTCCAGAGCCGCTTTGTTTGCATATCTAACGGTCGTCAGCCATGAACCTGCTCAGATACCAAGAAAAAGAGCTCACGTCTCAAGCATCACGAATATTGGCGCATCGCCCTTAGTTTGACGATGTATATGGTATCGGAGCGTACCAGGCTCATTCGCCTTTACAGCTTTGGCTGCGGTTGTCAGAAGCTCTTCGACCTAGAAAACATTAGCTGCTTGTTTGAAAAGATAGTGTTGGTGCTGATTTCGAGGCATACCCTATCTGCCTTGCCGGGCTTGGGAGTGATGATGGCAATGACATCGAAGGGGCTGGACATGGTGACGTAATGTTCAACGCGCAATTGTTCCAAGGTTATCTGGCGGAGATGAAAATATTTCAAAATATCGCTTCTGAGTCAGGAATGAGATTCTGTACTTGAGTAAACGAGACAGATGATGATACCACAAGTCGCGTCTTTGGCGTCGTTGCCGTTTGCAAGAGTGCTCCGCTCCTTTTCAGTAGAGCCGAAAAATGCCGAGGTACGATCCAAACATACCTAGCGGCATATCCTGAACTTTCACCCTCCCTCTCATCATGGTTGCATTATTTGAAAATTAATACAATGAGAATCTATTACTTGGGTTTCCGTTCATCAATGCGATTGTGGTCGCAAACAATATATTCGATGAAAGGATACCTTTTCGAAACATGTGTGACGGCAGTTGAAAGAACAGGATGAACCTCCGCGAATGATCAGTAATTGCGAAACTGGCGAAGCATCAGATGCTCGAAGGTCCATCACTCGAAATTCCGACACAAATTCAATTCTAAGTTGTACATTGAAGCTGGCTCTGCAGGTCTTCATTTGAAAACATGACAGTGTTTCTTTCCTTAGCTGCCCACAACACCTCGTCATACATCGTCACCACTGCTTCTCGTTTCCGGCTCGATGACTGCTCTTGTTCCGAGATCATATTTATCGCCTTCTCTTAGGAAGTAGAACCTCGCATTGGGCGGTGGTAGAGGCCTCTCCCAGCTTCCTTCCCTGGACCAAAAGCCGCCGTCGTAGATCAGCGCATACGTGCTGCCAATGACTTCCAGCTCGTTCTTATTGACTACTAACGCAGTGTCTTCGTCAATCGCCAGCCCAAGTAGCTCTGGGTAGGCGTTGAGAATCTCAAACATGTCGAAGTGCCTGTTGCGTACCAAGACGTGCTGGTCGATGGCCGAGTTCTTGAGATATCCAAAGCCAACAGTGTGATCACCTAGAGGACCCGAGTTAGTTTTGTATGTGACGATGTATCGCTGGCAGATTACAGCATGATCAGTGACCTACCTATCATGATGGTATTGTTCGCCGTATCACCGCGTGCGAGGAAACTGCCAATGATGCTCGCGCCAGCACTCGATCCTGAGATAACACCTCCTGCATCCAGAACAGCCTGGAATGCCACTTCAGTCTTGGTTCCAGCGTATGCATCAACCAACCGCCACTGTCGTCCACCACCAAAGAAGATACCCTTGGCACCCAACAAAGGAGCAATGAACTCGTCGGTATCGGCGACGGCAGGGTCATACGTATGCAAGACGGTTACATTGTTGGCACCATATTTGCGGAAAGCCACGGCTGTGGTAAAGTTCTGGTCATAGGTATTTTCGCCGCCGGCAGTGGGAACAACTACAATTGATGCATCGGGGCCTCCAGCGAGGGAGATGATGCGTTGGTAGATGCTCTCGCTCTGTAAGTTTCCTCCAACGATGACGAGATGACCATTTTCTGGGCCAACATAGGTTGTGTTGGTGCCGTTCGTCGCGTATATGGGATTCGCTATGGTCGTTGCTGTCAAGACAGCAGCGCAGAAAAGAGTAGTGAACCACATTATGAAGACACTGATATCATGCAACGTCAACGTTTAGAAACCGAGATGCCTTTACATATAAACTCCACTGCCAGTGACGGCATCTTATCACGGAGTTGAGGCTGGGCATCGCATCATCGTGGACTCTTGGTCCGATTGGGTCGAGATCGACAGCACCTGCCTGAAATGTGTTAAACTGTCACTGCAACCCCACTCTTATATATCCCGAGAGATTGGCATGGAGATGGGTGGCACAGAATGTTAGATTGTTGCAAGATGTTGAAGGATTGGTACGATAGACGCACACGCTGATGCGACGGACGCCCTGATGAAGACGCAAAGGCGCTAAGCGGGGTGATGATGTCACCGATCCAGCCTCTTAGCAAAGTCGATTTCAAGAGTCTTACGAAATGCATCAAAAGAGGCCACCGAAAGTTGACCTTGGTTCTGCAATAGGTGGTTGTTGAGTGTGGAGCCTTCTTTTGAATGTTGGTAATCGTGCTTCGAATCTAGAGGCTCAGTATTCCAAAATCAGACTGCATTTTTGAGGCAGGTATGATTTCAGCCTTAAGAAAAGCATTCGGTGCCTGGCTGGAAGAGATCATTCCTCGGCGCCCTCCATCTCAATATCACCCTCTTCGCCCTCTTCCTCTTCTCCACCTTCGGCCCACCAGAGTGTTGGCCCGAGACCAGGTTGGCCCATCGAGCCCTGTCAAGGGTATTAGACACGCCCGAGAATTTTATGACTCGGACTAACTCACAATGATCTTCCAAGCTGTTGGTCTCTCTTCAATGATCTCACCCTTCTCATCCTTCTCTACGATAGTCGGCCTCTGATCATACCATTCCTCATGCTCTACCCTGAACAAAACTGGCTCGCCCTTGTCGAAGAATAATTCAGTGCCTTCAGAGTTCCAGATCCAGACCATCTCAGCTTTGGAGAAGGACGAGTTTTCTGGTAGGTTTTGATAGGGGACAAAGACTTCTGACGTGAATTCCAGGTCAATGATGATGCCTTCTTCGTTGGAAGACTTTATCCGTCCATAAAGGATTTCGCCGCGGAAAGGACGGAAGACGGTCATACGGAATTCGACTGAGTTGGGTGTGAGAACAGATTACCTGACGGGTGAAATCGGACTTACTGTTCACATTAACAAGACCTGTCCCGTGACCGATCAAGCCTTCGGTCGCTGAAACGAGGTCCCACATACAGAGGCAAAGACCAATGCCGGGAACTATTCTATTGCTGTATTTGTCGTTGACTACATCTTTGATGGCTTGTGCGCTAGGCTTCTCAAAGTCTTGCGGCTTGATCTGTATCAAGTCTTGAATCGTGGTCTGCAGTGTGATTAGTAGGGAGTCTACACCATGACACGACGCGATCATCAACGACTCGGTATACGCCTAGTCGCGTCCAATGCTCTCATCTTTTCTTGCTGCTCAAATTTTCTGTCAAGCGGCGCGAAAGCGCAAAGAGGACGTGTCAGGCTCCGGGTCAGGCAGAGACTTACAAGTATGAACATGATCGCAGTTTCGGAGGCTTCATGGATGTAAAAGTAGAGGGTCGGCCGCTACCTAGACATGGTGGATATAGACAGTAGAGTCAGTCGCGAGAGTCCTCTAGATGACGGCTAGCGCCGCACTAGTAGTATCGATAAGGAACTTTTTGGTCTGCGGACCCCCGAGGCGCGTCGCATCTCCCTCGACTGCCTTTTTCGCGACTTATACCACATCATGTACGTTCTCTGGTAATTAATACTTGTAATACTTTGATCCCTCAAATTATACGATACCCAAATACACGAACAGCACAATGTCGTTCCGGTTCCCTCCACCTCCTCCGCCGCCGCCGCCGAAGGCTACATCCAGCGAGCAGCCATCCGCGAGTCAACGAGGTAGCCATGCCCGAGGAGGTGGTGATAGAGGTCGCGGGAGAGGTGGGAATCAGCATCGGGGAGGTGGCTTCAACAACACGGGTGGAAACGCCAGAGGTGGCCATGGGCAGAACCGCGGACGGGGAGATGCGCGTGGCAGAGGCGGTCAAAGAGGCGGCTATCAGAACAACAGGGGCGGCACAAATCATCGAGGAGGGCATAATGCTGGTAACGGGCAGTACCAGACGAATGCGCCGTCAGACAGTGCTTCTGCAAATGGCAACAACAACCCTACCTTCGCTAGCGGCGCGCAACAATATGACCCTAATGCCCTCGCTCAGGTCATGTCATACATGTCTACACCCGGCGGCGTACAGTCAATGGCCGCATATGCAAACCATATGACGAGCATGGGCAGCTCCTCCTTTCCCCAATCACCACCGCCTCAGCAGACCCAATCAAGCCCGCGGTATTCGCCTCAGCAACACGCCGGTCAGAAGAGAAAGTTGAATGATCGGAACAACAACTCAAAATCCCAGTCGAACGGACCGCAGCCAAGTTCGAAGCCGCCGAGGGCCAAGGCTGCGGTACCCCCACAGGTCCCGAGCTTCGGCTTCTCTCTCCCTCCACCACCCGTAGTACGACCGGACAACAAGAAGCGCAAAATCAACCTGGGACTGTCACACCAGCAGGTCCCGGATGAGAGTAGCGATGAGGAGGACGTTGACGAAGAAGCCGCATACACGGAAAAGCTCAAGGGTGGGGGGTTCGCGTTTGAGCACAACGGAGAGACAATCAGCATCCAGACAGGGGCAGAGGTCGCGGCATGGATCAAAGACCGAAGAAAGAACTTTCCCACCGAACAGAGAGCCATGGAGAAGGCAGAAGAGGCTGCAAGGAAACGAGCAGCCGAGCTTGATTTCTTGCGTAGAGTAAGCGGCAAGCCACCCAGAGAGCACAAGAACGACGCCCCGAATCCGGAGACGAAGCCTCGCGAAAATCGACAGGACGGCAGGGCGAAGAAGGATGATAGGGCAAAAAAGGAGGCCGACAATCGCAGGCAGGAAGAACTCGCAGCGTTGCGGAAGAAGTTTCACGAGAGCATGACGAAGAAGCAGTCTACGCCAAGCGTAGTAGATTTAGGCCTAGGGTACGAAAGCGAGACGGAATCTGAGGCAGAGAGCTCAGTATTGTCAGAGTCATCTGTGGTATCGAGTTCCGAAGAGGACGAATCCGAGTCTGAATCAGGCGACAGCGACGAAGCACCCGAAACCACATCGTCCAAGGTTGCTCCGCCACCCATCAAGGTTCCGCCTCCTGCGCGAGCGCCGAAGAAAGCTGAAACGAAGAGTATGAGTGTGTGTACAAACTGGAAGCGGAACGGGAGATGCCCATATATTAGCAAATGTAGATATCAGCATCCTCCAAAGGAAGAGGAGAAGCTACCGGGACTGTACGAGCGCATGGTAGAGCAAGAGCTGGTCAAGGCAGATCAACTGGCACTCGATGCGATCAAGTACCTGGGACAGAATGGCTTCTTGGGCTGAGTGGAGTCTGTTCATTCTCCAATGACATATGTACATCCCTCGTCTCCCACCCATACTTCGTGTACCTTGTTCGCATCTACGTCCCATCTTGCGCCAGGGCCTATTGTTTCCTTTTTCGCGTCGGGATCGTCGGGATAGGTGTACGTTATGGAGCCATTGAGGACGAGGTGTGTGGTCTTGCCGCTGTGCTTGTGTGGCGAGTAGTGCGCGTTGCCGCAACAAAGTTAGGCTGCATTCACAGTGGTGGGAATGTGGTAGACTTACGGGCTATCAGTCCAGGTGAATACGTGACCGAACCCCCAGGAACGGACTTGGCTCTCTGCTTCTCTTCGTGAATTTACCATGGTGAATGTGCACCTAGCGATTGGTATCGGAAATGTTTGCCTCCAATGCATCGATGGTATCGTAGGATGCTGGACCCTGAGTGACGTCGGCGGCCTTGGCAAGGCTGGAACGGCACATGTCAAGCCTAGACCCTATTCTCCCAGCACGACAAACAGGGCAGCCCGCCTTTCTTTCACGTTGCGCGTGCAGCAAACGTCGAGTGTTGCGTGTCAGCGCCCCACCAATTGGATGATCAAACGCCAGTGCGGCAGGCCAAGGCAGGCACGAGCTGACCATGAGGCTATCGCGCCCGCTTCAACGTCGCGGGCCGCACCTCCTCATACCTCTACAACTAGATCCCGCTGCCACTCCACACTTGACCTGTGGTCCAACCGTAAGCTGCACATACAGCTGCCTACTTTAGATTACAAGTATGTCGGGTGTTTGCACATATCCTCGTCCAATTGCACAAGGAAGCACTAACGCCCATCAGCGAGCTGAGCTGCCTGCACTCAGCCATTACTCAGGCACACTGCCACTTTGGACTCTCCTGCCGCCTATAAACCTACCACCGCCTCTTCTGACATTTCCACGCTGCAACATGACGCCCACCAAAGACAATAAGCTGGGCACCCCCAAGGCCGTTAACCCAGAGCTTCAGGCCGGTGGCGGTACAGCATCGGCCTCTACCACAGCCCGCAAGGTCGATGCCTTATCACCGCTCCTTACACAATACATCAAGGCCGTCTACGATGAAATCACGAAGCGATACGACTTGACGACAACAGAAGGACAGTTGAAGTGGCTGACGGAGGAGCAGCAATGCTCAGGACAGAACGCTGAGCTTCTGGCCGACGGCTCCTTCTCGCACTTCGCCAACTACTTCATGTCAGGCTCGGCAAGTGTCTTGAAACCTGCACAGCCTGTAGACGAGTCGTATCCAATCTCAAACTACTTCATCTCGTCAAGTCACAACACATACCTCACCGGCAACCAGCTGTCGAGTGACTCCAGCGTCGATGCCTACAAGAACGTCTTGATGCGAGGATGCCGTTGCGTCGAAGTGGATGTCTGGGATGGGGACCAACTTTCAGATTCTAGCTCAGACGAGGAAGCTGCCATGGGAAACCCAGGATCGGATGACGCCAGGAAAGAGAAGAAGAAATCCAAGTCGGGGCTTAGCATCCGCAAAAGGCTAGGGTTGAAATTTGGCAGGAAGGGCGACGAGGAGAAAGAAGAACAAACATCCCAGCCGCCTCAGGAGGAAGACAACAAG